TCGCGCCACATGAACGGACCAAGATGCCCCCCCCCCTTCCGGGGCCATAGAAACCGGCAACAACCTATTAAAAATCAGCAAATTCGACCTCCTGGGCCTCTTGGGGCCCCAAGAGGGCCTCAAGATGGCCCAAGATTAACCCAAGACGGCCCAAGATATTCCCAACGGGGGCTCATGAGGCCCCCAATACGGCCCCATAAGCTCCAAGGACGGCCCAAGAGGGCCCCTAAGAGCGCCCACAACTGCGCCTCCAGAGGCCGAAATCATTGATTGTCCGATGGTTTTTGCAATATTTTAGCGTTCTCGTCTTTTTCGAGTTTCACAAATCCATGACGGCCCAAGCAGCTTCCAGAATCGCCCCAGAACAAACCAAAAAAAAAACCCAAGAGGGCTCCAAGACGGCCCAGGAGGGCCCCAAAACGGCCCAAAGAGGCCCCCAAGACGGTCCAAGAGGCCGCGAAGACGGCCCTAGAGGATCCCAAGAGGGCTCCAATACAGCCGCGAGAGACCCCCAGGACAGCCTCCGAGGGGGCGAAACGGCGCAAAAGCGCCAAGACGGCCGAAGACGCCCCGAGGAGGCCCCAAGAGGCCCCCAAGAAGCCTCCAAGAAACCCAAAAGCCTCCAAAAGGCTCCCAAAACCCCCCCAAAGGCCACACAGCGACTGGAGTGTAATGTCATTTTCCCCCCTCTGGGCGAACTGCGGCGCAGCGCCAGCCAGGTGGAAGTTGGCCACTGCGGCGCCCATGATTAGAGCCGGCGCTGGAAGGGAAGATGGGGAGGGTGTATGAAAAGGAAGGGGGGAAAAAGGCCCCAAAGAAGTCCCCAAGAGGCCTCCAGGAGGCCCCCAAGAGGCTCCCAAGAGGCCCCGCGACGACGTGACTGCACGTGCTCCAGACGTGCACCCCGCGAAGCGAGAGGAATCCACGTCCGGAGGTGACGTGCTGAGCGGCAGCGTTTTTCGGCGAACGCCTTAATGCAACGTATCCTATGTATCCAATGATTGCAGAATTGCCACAGATTGCGTTGTGTTACAATATTATGTCTCCCCCCGTCACCCCCCCTGGGAGCCGCGCCACAGGAACGGACCAAAATGATCGGCCCTCCTTCTGGGCGCCCCCCCAACCCCCCCCAAAAAAAAACCCAAGGGCCACACAGCGACTGGAGTGTAATGTCATTTTCCCCCCTCTGGGCGAACTGCGGCGCAGCGCCAGCCAGGTGGAAGTTGGCCACTGCGGCGTCCATGATTAGAGCCGGCGCTAGAAGGGAAGATGGGGAGGGCGCATGAAAAGGAGGGAGGGGGGAAAGGCCCCAAAGAAGTCCCCAAGAGGCCAAAAGAAACTCCTCCCAGGAGGCCTCCAAGAGGCCCCCAAGAGACTCCCAAGAGGCCCCGCGACGACGTGACTGCACGTGCTCCGGACGTGCACCCCGCGAAGCGAGAGGAATCCACGTCCCGACTGCAGCGAAGCGTCTCGGCAGTCCGACAGGACGGGTGCGTGACGCAAGGGCCCAGCCACGATGCGTCGAGGAAGGGCAATTGCCAAACATTGCACTCGTATACATTGCAAAGCAAACCCCCTTAATCCCCCCCCCCAGGGCCGCCGCCGAGTCGACGACCTTTTCGCGCACGAATGCTAAAACCTACAAAACCCAATGGAAATCATTGATTTGGGCCTCCGGACCCCCCTCGGAGCCCACAAGGGGCGTCAAGACGGCTCTAGATGGCCTCGAGGCCGCCCAAGAGAACTCCAAAACGGCCCCAAGACGACCCAAGATGGCTCCAAGAGCGCCCAAAAAGCTCCCCAGACGCCCCAAGAGGGCCCCAAGACGACCCCCAAGAGCGCCTCCAGAGGTCAGAATCATTGATTTCCCTATGGTTTTGGGAAGATTTTGGCGTTCTCGCCGTCCTCGACTGTGGGAAGCCAATGACGGCCCAAGCAGCCTCCAAAATGGCCCCAAAAAGGCCCTAGAAGCCCCCAAAAGGGCGCCAAGACGGCCCGTGAGGGCCCCAAGACAACCCGAAGAGGCCCCCAAGACGGCCCAAGAGGCCCCGAATACGGCCCAGAAGGACCCCAAGAGAGCCCCAAGGCGGCCGCGGGAGGTTCCCAAGACGGTTTCCGAAGGGGCGACACGGCGAAAGAGCGCCTCGAGACGGCCCAAGCCGCCCCCAAGAGGCAACATGAGGCCCCCAGAGGGCTCCAAGAAGTTCCCAAGAAGCCCCCAAGAAATCCGCCGACCCCTTGGGGATCATCGGCGTGTGAGATGCTTCCCCCTCCCCAAACCCCTCCCCCGGGAGCCCGGTCCGGTCGATTTGGAGGGGGGGGGGGGGTCCGGGACGAGCGCTCCACGGGGCTTTTCCTGGCCCAAGAGGGCTTCAAGACGGGCCACGAAGCCCCCAAGAGGCCTCCAAGACGGCCCACGAAGGCTCCGAGAAGCCAAACGACCGCTCCAAGACGCCCACGATGGCCCCAAGACGGGCCAAGAGGTCTCCAAGACGGCCCCTGAGGTCCCAAATGAGCCTCCCAAGAGGGCCCAAAGAGTCAAAAATTGCTGATTTTCCAGAGTGTTTTTCGATGTTTTTTGCTTTTCCGCCTTTCCGGCTTCCCGACGCTCCAAGACGGGCAAAGAGGCCCCAAAGATAGCCCCAAGATGGCCCAAGAGGCCCCCAAGACGGCCTCCAGACGGCCCAAGACGGCCCCAAGACGGCCCAAGAGGTCGGCCCAAGAGGGCCGATTTGGAGGGGGTGAGAAGGCCGGGACGAGCGCAGCACGGCCGGGACGAGCGGTTCCAGGGCTTTTCCGGGCCCAAGAGGGCCTCAAGACGGGCCAAGAAGGCTCCAAGAGGCCTCCAAGACGGCCCACGAAGGCTCCGAGACGCCAAACGACGCCTCCAAGACGCCCAAGATGGCCCCAAGACGGGCCAAGAGGTCTCCAAAGCGGCCCCCGAGGTCCCATACAAGTCTCCCAAGAAGGCCCCAAGAGTCTAAAATTGTTGATTTTCCATAATGTTCTTCGACGTTTTTTGCTTTTCCGCCTTTCCGGCTTCCCAACGCTCCAAGACGCGCGACGAGGCCCCAAAGATAGCCCCAAGATGGCCCAAGAGGCCCCCAAGACGGCCTCCAGACGGCCCAGGACGGCCCCAAGACGGCCCAAGAGGTCCTCAAGACGGCCCAAGAGGGCCGATTTGGAGGCGGGGAGGGGGCCAGGACGAGCGCAGCACGGCCGGGACGAGCGGTTCCAGGGCTTTTCCGGGCCCAAGAGGGCCTCAAGACGGGCCAAGAAGGCTCCAAGAGGCCTCCAAGACGGCCCACGAAGGCTCCGAGACGCCAAACGACCCCTCCAAGACGCCCAAGATGGCCCCAAGACGGGCCAAGAGGTCTCCAAGACGGCCCCCGAGGTCCCAAACAAGCCTCCCAAGAGGGCCCCAAGAGTCTAAAATTGTTGATTTTCCATGGTGTTTTTCGATGTATTTTGCTTTTCCGCCTTTTCGGCTTCCCGACGCTCCAAGACGGCCAAAGAGGCCCCAAAGACAGCCCCAAGATGGCCCAAGAGGCCCCCAAGACGGCCTCCAGACGGCCCAAGACGGCCCCAACACGGCCCAAGAGGTCCCCAAGACGGCCCAAGAGGGCTCCAAGACGGCACCACGAGGGGCCCAAGAGGGCGACCAAACATGTTGAAACTCTAGCTTTCTGCCCCCAGGAGCCCCAGGGGGCCCCAAGAGTGCCCCAAGAGGCCCCCAGAGGCCCTCACGAGGCCGCCCAGACGCCCCAAGGAACCCCCAAGAAGCACCCCAGAGGCTCCGAAACGGCCCCCGAGTGGCTCCAAAACTCGCAGTGTCGCTGTCCGCTCGGACCTCCCCGCGGAACTGCCCGAGACCCTCTGGCGGTGGCGGCGAACAGACACCAAACAAATATCACTCGCCTTTTCACCCCTTCGCAGCTTCTACTACCCCCAGATTGGCATAAACAAGGGGTCGGCGGTGTGGCGTAAGCCTAAGAATCTCCAAGAAGCCTCCCAAAGGCCTCAGAGAAGCGCCCAAAAGGCCGCGCAACGACTGGAGTGCATTGCTTGTTTCTCCTAAAGAGGCCCCCGAGGGGCCACAAGAAGTCCCCGAGAGGCCTCCAGGAAATCCCCAAGAAGCCTCCCAAAGGCCTCACCGAAACGCCCACAAGGCCACGCAACGTCTGGATTGTATTCTTCTTTTCTCCTGGGCGAGCCACGGCGCAGCCCCTGTCACGTGGAAGTTGGTCACGGCGGCGCCCATGAGTACCGGCGCTGGGAGGGAAGATGGGGCCGCCGCTTCCCTCATCGCCCTCCTCATCCTCCTCATTGTCGTCATCCTCATTCCCATCCACGTCCTTTCCCTCCTGTTCATCCTCATCGTCCTCATCGCCCCCTCAGCCCGAAGTTGGAACCTCGACGAGCGAGTCTCTACGTTCCCGCACCTTGGTGGAAATCCTCGCTACGATGGCTGGAGGCAGCGCGCTCATGGTGCATTCGAACTGCGCGAGCGGTTCTAAGACACCTCCAAAAGGCCCCCACCCAAGACACCTCCAAGAGGCCACAAAGAAGCACCCAAGAGGCCCCGCAACAAGTGGACTGCACGTGGTCCGGACGTGCACCCCCGCGAAGCGAGAAGCATAACTCCTCCCTGTCACGCCCCGAAGCGTGTCGGTAGGGCGGGCGTGGCGTTTCGCCTGAGACGTCCTCACTATTAATGGCAATTAGACTGAACAGTGATACCACCGCTTGCGTGTATACTATTTGTTTGCATCGAATACCACAACTAATCCTACTCCACCTTTTCCACGCGATCGTGTTCGGAGCTACTTCCCAATCCATACTCATGTTCGAATTCGGGGTCGTACCTGCACCCCCACTCCATCTGCTACCCCCAACAGCGCCCCTGTTCCTTCATTAACGCTTGCTCCTGCCAGTGTCACAGAACCCCCTGAGCTCATGCATGGTCTTCTCCTGCCCCTGCTCCTTGCTCCCCCTCCGTCCTCGGAGATCAGCTTCTCGAGCATCTGCATCACGCCCGCCGCGCCCTGGGCCGCAGGCGGCCGCGCAGGCTGAGCGGAGGATGGTGCGCACGCGAGATTGCGCAAAGGGGGCGGGTCGAGTATACGGTTAGGTCGGGCATGCCCCCCTACAGGTGGATCCTGGAAGAAAAATGAAGGACAGTCAAAACAGACACCAACATAGCCAAAAAAGAATCGAAGCATCGCCCCCGGACTATTTCTTGACTCTTCTCGAATACTCCTGTGGAGGGACATGCCCGGTGGAAGCATACCGAGAACGCGTGAACCTCTCCAGGGTTGCCTTCTGACCGGGGTTTCGAGGCGAAACTCCAGCCGCGGCGACATGGGGAGGGTAAGAAGCAGTATCGTGATCTGTCCTCCTCCGATGGCACTCGCTTCCCCAGGGGGGACCGAGGCATGCCATCGAGGGAGCGTGCGAGGTTCCAGCGGCAGTGCTTTTTCCTCCGGCCCGTCCCAGGCCCTCCCTGCGCCCTCGGGGCCCCGGCCTGGCACCTTCGATGAGGCATCTGGCGGATCACCGCCCACAAAAGGTTTTTCGATGTGGCCTTTCGAGGAGGCCTTTCGGGGAGGCCTCTCGAGAGGGGCACTTTCGAAGAGGCCTTTCGAGGAGGAGGCCTTTCGAGGAGGAGGCCTTTCGAGGAGAAGGCCTTTCGAGGAGAAGGCCTTTCGAGGAGGCCCCATCTGGAAGAGACTCTGTGCGCAATCTTGGCGATGATCGCCACAGGCGGCATCAGGGGCCAGAGGGCCTGCGGAGAGGCTTCCGAGGAGGACGCAGGCGACCCGTTCCTTGGCAAGGTGGTGCAAGGTTTGGAGACACGAAGGACGGATCATTCCCCCAAGCAGTGGCTGCACTCGGGTGTTCTGACTCGCGTTCCTGGAGAATCGGATGGGCACGGCGCGGTTTCGCAACGTTGCCGCTTGGTTGCCTCCTCGTTGCCGCATCGTGCGCTGGATGGGTCCACCGAGATTTCGCCACGTTGCAGACCCTTGCCGCCTGGTTGCCGCCTCGTTGCCGTCTCGTGCGCTGGGTGGGTCTGGCGAGGTTTCGCCACGTTGGCGCCTGGTCGTTTCCTCGTGGCCGCCTCGTGCGCCAGGTGGGTCTGGCGAGGTCTCGCCAAGTTGCCGCTCGTTGCCGTATAGTTGCCGCCTCGCGCGCTGCGTAGATCCACCGAAGCTTGGCCACTTCACCGTCCGTTGCCGCTTCGTTGCCGCCTCTTGCGTGCGACACGTAGTCTTTTTTTTTCAAGAGGGGGGGGAACAGGAGCTACCACCCTCTCCTCCCCCAGACTGACATCGGGACCCCTTGGGGCACTGCAAATTACACATAATCCTGCCTCGTTGGTTATTTTCCATATGAACTGACACCATCCCGCCAACCAGCACCGCCTATCATCATCACCCCTGTCAACGAATACTAGGCGCATGCTAGATTACCGCCAAGAACCATGCTTTAGCAATCCCGTGCAAAAGCGCCGCACACTGTCCACGCGCGCGCATGTCGCAATCATACCAAACGCTCCCCTGCTGCCAGCATTTCAGCCTAAGCCAGGCTCAAATCGTTTCGATGTTCCATCACAAATGTTGCAGATGCCCTGCCCGCGCGCATTGGCTGAAATCGTAGCACAGCCCTATGGGTTCAACGATCTCGCAACACCCCCGCATTCTCATCCCAACACGCGCGCATTCACCGTGACCCAGCAGGCGCACAGCGCACGAATCCGCATCAAATAATACCATGCGGGCCATACGCACGCGACGCCACGCGCCCGTGTCGATATCCATCCTGAACCATTGGCTCTCGAAGCAATTCAATATGAAATCTTTCAGAAACCTGCCAAGTTCCCAGCACGTCCACGCGCACACTTCCTCACCGTCACCGCCATGAGTGCCGCCGCATCACATCATCGTCAACGACAATCGCCCCCGTTGCCGACACCAGCACCCAGACACTTTCATCATCCACGCATGGGCACCATCATCGTCGTTGTCACCATCATCGGCGCCGTCTTTGGCCATTCCGTCGACATCGCCGCCGTCACGATCACCATCGCTATTACCATCACCGCTGCCGTCGCTGCCACCGTCATCATTAGACGACACCCGCCCGAGCACCGATCCGCTTCGAAAAGCCCGCGCGCCAGCGCGGCCTTTGAGACGCGCTGGGAAATTACCATGAGTAAGCGCAATCGCGGCCGCATCGACTGTGCCAAATCAGCTGGTCGCTCTGCGCGCGAGCTTAAACGCGTTAGCGCAGCTGCAGAAATGCGCTAGCCAATGCCAAGGAGTCGCCGCAATCGCGGCCGCATGGGCTGTGCAAAACATGTTGCGGGCGTGAAGGTGTGATGATTCCGCGAACAGTGGAATTGACAACTCACCCGTGAACACCAGCTAACTGCACCGCGTAGCCTGCACCAAGTAGCCTGCACCAGATAGCTTGCCCATCCACACTGCAATAGCCTACTGTTTGGGGCCCACTCTGCCCAGCAGTACCCTAAGGTTGCAGAGCTGGTTATTGCTGAGCACGACAAAACCGTCACCCACTGGGGAGACCACGCGATGCGGCGGATCTCCGACTACTCCTCGGCCCCTGCCCGCGCCGCGGCGCGGGCCGAGCTCTCGTTGGTCGGCGGTTTCCCTGCCTCTCCACGCCGCGTTCCGCAGGCTTCCGCCAGGAGGGGATGTCTCCCATCGGCGCGTCTGCCGATCGTTGGTGCAGGCACCCTGCGGTCATCGACATCAGCCCACCCTGATGTGATCAACATCTCCTGTCTGGACGTGAGCTCGCGCCATGCGGATGCGAGCATTCGCACTGCTGCGGTCCGCGGTCCGTTGGAATGCCAAGCGCCTCGGAACTGACTCCCAAGTGCGCCTTTGTTGAGCAGGGACCGACCGCCCCGGGACTTCTACAGGCCTACCACGACATGCTCTTAGAACCCCGAAACGCTCTAAGAACGAAAACAATGTTCTTTGAACATAAGCCCGATGTGTTAAAACAAAACAGTCCCAGCCAGAAATGTTCCAAGAACAGTTCGTTGAAACCACGCAAGGTCCTTAGAACATTCTTTGGTAGGCTAGGCGAGCCCAGGTGCTTCGCCACTGCTGGACTTTGTCAAATCGCTGCAGCCGTGGATTGAACCAAATCCACCCTGCCCAGGGAAACTCTCCGGGGCGAAAGACGCTGCGAGGGTGCCCCCTGGCCCGGCTGCTTCGGATGTCCGCTCGCGCGCGGCATGCCTCCATAAGCCAGGCTTGATGGGCCTGTTTTCAACCACCACCACCACCATAAGTTGGAGGGGGGAAGGAGGTGGAGGACGAGGAGGAGGAGGAGGAGGAGGAGGAGGAGGAGGAGGACCCCCTCCCCCTCCAACTTATGGTGGCGGCAGGCCCCTCAAGGCCAGAGAGAACCCGAACACGTTCAGCCCAAACGACGCGGCGAGGCAACGGGGCAATGGGGCAGCGGGAAAGCGCGGCCACGAGGTGGCGTGCGAGCGCGTCACGGAATGAGGCAGCGCAGCAACGAGGCAATGGCGCAGCGAGGGCAACGCGGCATCAGCGCAACGGGGCCCCGGGCAACGAAGCGGGCCAGGAGGGCGCCACCACACGGAGCACGCGGCCGCGCGGCATCGGCGCAGCAAGGCCTCGAGCAGGGCGCCGTGGCAAGCAGGGCAGCGGGACACCACGCAGCGCATCGGGCACCAAGCGCGTCATGACGCGAGGCACAGAACCAGACATGCGGTGTCCCCTCTTTTCCCAAACTGGGTCCCCGAAGTCCAGGCCCTGTCCCCGGGCCCGGTTCTTGAATAGCGAGCCGTTTTGTTGACGGTCCTCGGGCCCAGAGAGGTCCCCTGGAGGCCGCAAGCGGCGAAAAAACTTCCCATCGTGGCTTCATCGACGCGATCGTGCGCTGGGAGTCCGACTCCACTGTCGCGCCCGACCCCAGCGCGGCGCCGCGCTCAAGACGACGAGCAGCAAGCGCAGGCGCTGCGTGCGCTCGCGCAAAGCGGAGCAGCCTGCGCGCACGCCAATCGGCCTGAGCCGAGCACAGACAGACCAACGAGGCCGCGCACGAGGCCGCGCACGAGGCCGCGAGGCGGACGCAGAGAGGGGAGCGAGGCGGTGCACGGTTTCCCCCCCGGGGCCGTAGGCGACCGGAGGAGGAGGAGGAGGAGGAGGAGGAGGAGGAGGAGGAGGAGGAGGAGGAGGAGGAGGAGAGAAGAGGAGAGAGGGAGAGGAGAGGAGAGGAGAGGAGAGGAGAGGAGAGGAGAGGAGGGAGGAGAGGAGGAGGAGGGAGGAGGAGGGAGGAGGAGGAGGAGGAGGAGGAGGAGGAGGAGGAGGAGGAGGAGGAGGAGGAGGAGGAGGAGGAGGAGGAGGAGGAGGGAGGGGGGGGAGGAGTGAGGGGGAGGAGGAGGGAGGAGGCCCTTCGGAGAAACCCTCCACGAGCCCGTGGGGTAGCCAGGCACCGAGGCGTCGAGGCAGCGGCGCGGGGCGCGGCGAACGGGCGGCGAGGCAGACGTCGAACGCACGGCCAGGCCGCCTGCGGCGAAGGACCGGCGAGCCGGCGAGGCACCAAGACAGCCCTGACATCCTCCCGTCGTGAAGTAATTCACGACGGGAAAGCGTTGCTCATTATCGGCCTCCGGGGGCCCTCGCCGGGACCCGGGACCGTCACAAAACAACTCAAGATGAAATGCCGGTCCCGGGAAAGGGGTCCAGACCTCTGGGGAGCTACGTTGTGAACAAATCGCGGAGTCGAATGAGGGGGGGAGAGGGAGGCACCCGTGCGAGCGAAAGGCGACTCGGCGAGCTGGCCGAGGGCGCTTCGAAGTGCACTTGGAAGTGCACCTGCAAATGGAGAGGGCCCACCCTGAAGGCATGGTCAACAGCAAATCGTGGGAGCGAGGGAAGGAACAGAGCATCGGAGCAACGGAGTACTTGCGGCACCCAGTAGCTGGGGCAGCGGAGCGGCGATGTGCTGCGTTCCACTGGGTCAGCGCCCAGAGCCAGAGAGCCAATGCGACCAGATGAGACCGCCGCGCCTCGGCGCACTGCATGGGTACAGGCCTTTTCTTCCCGCATGCTTCGTGGGGTTCTTGCTTTCCCCCCTACCCGCGTCACACCAGCGTCTCACACACGCACACACACACACCTCACCCTCCTCTTTCTCGCTCGTCTCCCTGCAGATGCACACGTCATAACCATCACACCGCTTTACATATACACACGTGCAGGCAGCACACCACGTGACACACACACACACACACACACACACACACACACACGCACAGATGCACACTGCACGCTGGTCGTCCAGGGTATAGCAGGCGTGGCATATTCTCGACACCAGATAGGGTGCGCACAGCGGTGGTCTCTGAGGGCGGCCGCTACCCGTGACGGTCGTCAAGGGCGTAGCAAGCGTGGCATATTCTCGACACCATAAGGGGGTGCGCACGGGGGCGGTCTCTGAGCGGGGCCGCCATCCGCGACGGTCGTCCAGGGCATAGCAGGATTGGCAGACTCTCGACACTATAGGAAGTGCGCAGGGGGCTCAAGGCGGTCGTCCATGGCATAGCAGGCGTGGCATATTCTCGACACCGAAGGGGGTGCGCACGAGGTGGTCTCTGAGGGCGGCCGCTATCCGTGACGGTCGTCCAGGGCAAAGCAAGCGTGGCATATTCTCGACACCATAAGGGGGTGCGCACGGGGTGGTCTCTGAGGGCGGCCGCTATCCGTGACGGTCGTCAAGGACATACAGGCGTGGCATATTCTCGACACCAAATTCTCGACGCCATAGAGGGGGTGACAAGATGAAAATAATTCACAGTGCACGTGCAGGAGTCAGGATGCTAAGAACATGCGAAATGATTTCACAAGGATTGGCATCAAGAAAAAAGTATGTGGGCTTCCTCGATTGCGCAATTGTGTTAGCTTGTAAGCGACAAAAGCACGGAGAAGGAGAGGGGGGAAGGAGGGGAAGGAGCAGAAGCAGAAGTAGAAGTAGTAGATAGAGCGAGATCGAGAGAGAACGAGAGACAGAGAGAAGGAGGGAGAAAGAGAGAAAGAGAGACGGAGAGACAGGGAGAGAGGGAGAGTGGGATGGGGGGGAAGAGATAGAGAGAGAGAGAGAGAGCGAGAGCGCACCCCTGCGGACAGAGTCACTGTCCTGGCCCCGGGCAACACGTGCTCAAGGCGGAACCGCCCCACAGTGCGGGAGGCGCCGCACGCGAAGCAGGGGTGGTGGGATAAACTGCCCTCCTGGTGCGGACTGCCGGGGGCCTCCGGCTGGAAACTGAAGGGAGATGAGGAGGAGGAGGAGGAGGAGGAGGAGGGAGGAGGAGGAGGAAGAGGAGGACGAGGAGGAGGGAGGATGAGGAGGAGGAGGAGGAGGAGGCCACTGGGGCCCGTCGGCGCCGTGCGCAGGGACGCGCTGGACCTGAGCGTGGGTTGCCATGCACGCCTCGACGCCCTGCGAACAGAGTCGCCGCTTCGGGGCGTCCTCCGCAGCGGTCCAGAGGATGCAGACAACGAAACAGGTGCCAACAGTTCACGGGGTCCGCGTGGGAGGAGGCCAGCACTGGTGTGCTGTCCTCTGGGATTGGAAAAAGGTCTCGAGATAACCCGGTACGGTGGCTCTGCTGGTCTCATCAGGGCGGAAAGCCCGTCGAGGGAGAGCCCAGGCCTCTTGTGCACGGCGGAACCTGTCTATCAGCGGTGCTGACTGCTCCTGTAGCTGTCAAGGGAAGTCATCAACTGGTTGACGCGCTGGCTGAGTGCTTGAAGGCTGGCAGCGAGAGTCTCGCAGTCCCCCTGTCGCTGATGACTGGTCGTCGTGAAGTGCTGGGTGAGGGCGTTCCTCGTATCAGTACGATGCCCCCGGGTCAGACAGTTAGCCCTCCGAAGAGAGAGACAGAGAGGGAGAGAGCGCGAGGGAAAGAGGGAAAGAACGAGAGAGAGAGAGAGAACAACAAAGACGACGACTGCTGCAGGACCACCGAGGCGACAAGCAAGAATACGACAAAGAAGAAAATGCCCGGCCAGGGAGAGAGAAGCAGTGGGAGGAATCACTCGAAGGCACCTGCCTTTCCCTTTCGCTCCCTCTCCCTCTCCCTCGGTTTCCCTCCCCCTTGGACACCTCCTACACGCATTCCCTTCATCGCCTCTCCCTTTCGCAGCTGATCCGGCGCACGGGCTGCGTACGTACCGTCCTCTCCCCCGTCCTGACCTCGCGGGGGAACCACGCGTGCCTAGGATGTGCTCCGTGGCCCCGTCGCTTCTCCTCGTGCAACCCCCCCCGCTGTGCTGCCGCCGCTGTTGGCGCTGTTGGCCCTCGTCTACCCGGCAGGCGCAGGCTGGCCGCACTGGGCTTGTACTCCATCTGCGCCACGGGCGCCACGCTGCCTGTGAAGCAGCGGCAACACTGGCAGCGGCAGACCACAGCGTCCCCGCTCGGCTCGGGAGAAATGCTCTGGCACCCGGAGAGGCGAAGAGGACGAGTTGAGGAGCACGTAGAGGTCATAGTTGGGTTCGCGGAGTCCGCTGACGAAATTGAAGGTGAGGACGAGGATGAGGATGAGGACGACCTGACGAGATGAAGGAGAATGAGAGCGATAATTCCGACAAGCGCAGGAAACAGCAACGTACAAGTGCATAAGCGCATAGAACCAACAATCCGCCACCGTGCCCATTGGCACGTTGCGACGTGGTAGAACGACAAATGCTGTCTGGTAGGGCCTCTGTCTCCTAACAGAGGACCCCGCCCCTTCTAGTCGAATCCAATTGCGTGCATCGCCCCTACTCCCGAGGCCAAGGCCCCTCGTAAACTTAGCCTGGCGAAGGACCCAACCATATGCAGCTGCGAAAAACGTAAGACATTACCTTCTCATCATATGCAGCGCGCCGCGAGAGGGATGGAGCACGGAGCAACGCGGATGGGAACCCCGAAACGTGTGCGAGGTGTGCCGAAGTTGGCTGGGAGACGGGACGCATGCGGGCGCTGCCACTGGGGCCTTCGGCGGAGCTCCCTATGGACCACGAAACGTGTGCGGGGTGTGTGCCGAAATGGGGCGGGGCCGGCATGCGAACCCTGCCACTGGGGCCTTCGGTGGAGCTCCCGATGGGGCCACGAAACGTGTGAGGGGTGTGCCGAAATGGGGCGGGGCCGGCATGCGAACCCTGCCACTGGGGCCTGCAATGGAGCTCTTCGTGGAACAACGAAACGTGCGGTGTTTGAGTGTGCGTGTGTGTGTGTGCCGAAATGAAGCTGGGGCCATGAAACGTGTGAGGGGTGTGCCGCAATGGAGGCGGGGCCGCCATGCGAACCTTGCCACTGGGGCCTTCGGTGGAGCTCCCGAGGAGGCCACGAAACATGCGAGGTGTGTGCCGAAATAGGGCGGGGCCGCCATGCGAACCCCGCCGCTGGGGCCTTCGGTGGAGCTCCCGATGGTATGGGGCCACGAAACGTGTGAGGGGTGTGCCGACATGGGGCGGGGCAGGCATGCGAACCCTGCCACTGGGGCCTTCGGTGGAGCTCCCGATGGGGCCACTAAACGTGTGAGGGGTGTGCCGAAATGGGGCGGGGCCACCATGCGAACCTTGCCACTGGGGCCCTCGGCGGGTTTCCCGATGAGGCCACGAAAGGTGTGAGGGGTGTGCCGACATGGGGCGGGGCCGCTATGCGAACCCTGCCACTGGGGCCTTCGGTGGAGCTCCCGAGCAGCTATGCGAACCTTGCCACTGGGGCCTTCGGTGGAGCTCCCTATGGGGCCACGAACAGAGTGAGGGGTGTGCCGAAATGGGGCGGGGTCGCCATTCGAACCCTGCCAATGGGGCCGTCGGTGGAGCGCCCTATGGGGCCACGAAGCGTGTGAGGGGTGCGGCGAAACAGGGACATGCGAAGAGCAGAGGCGAGGAGCGGGGGCGAGGAGGGGGAGGGAGGAGAGGAGAGGAGAGGAGAGGAGAGGAGAGGAGAGGAGAGGAGAGGAGAGGAGAGGAATGGAGAGGAGAGGAGAGGAGAGGAGAGGGGAGGAGAGGAACGGCGAGGAGAGGAGAGGAACGCGGGGCGCTATCTTTTCCAAACGAGGACCCAGCACCACAGGATGGTTGGGAAAAACGATGGGTCCGCGCTCACGAGGCCACGATCCCTTGTGTGAAACGATGGATCCGCGCCCCGAGCTTCCAAAGTCGGGCCATGCAGGCAACCAAGAGAACCAAGATGGCCCAAGACGCCTCGAAGACGGCCCAAGATGGCCCCAAGGCGGCCAAGTATGGCCCCAAGGCGGCCCAAGATGCCTCCAAGAAGACCCAAAAGAGCCTCAAGAGAACCTCCAACAGGGTCCGAAGAGGCAAAACGAATTGATTGCCCTTGGGTGATTGGATCATGCTTGCATCCTCGCCTTCCGGGGGCTTACGTCAGCTCGAGGCGGCCCATGAAGCCTCCACAATGGGCACAAGACAGATCAAGAGGACCTCAAGAGGGCCTCAATATGGCCCCAGAGGGCCCCATGATGGCTGGAGAAGCATCCAGGGCGGTTCCAAGACGGCCCGAGCGGGCCTCCCGTGGGACTTAAGACGGCCGTGAAAGGACCTTCGACGGCCCAACACGGCGGCAAGACGGTCCCACGACGGCCCCCAGACAGACATTTAAAACACGGCTACAGAGGGCCCCGGGACGGCCCAATAGAGCCCCAAGACGGTGTAAGAGGCCCCAAGACGGCCAAAGAGGGCACCAGGAGAGCCGCAGGACTGCCTCACATGACGCATAGGCAGCCCAAAGTCTTCCCAACCGAACTCGATGTGAACTCCCAAACTAACGGAGACGGGAAATATCACATGTGACGACCGTCCTATTCGCCCTCCTCCTCCTCCTCCTCATCCTCCTCCTTCCCTTCCTTCCCCGCATCCTCCTCCTCCTCCTCTTCCTCCTCCTCCTCTTCTTCTTCTTCCTCCTTCTCCTCCTCCTCCTCCTCCTCCTTCCCCCCTCCCCCCCCTCCTCCTCCTCCTCCTCCTCCTCCTCCTCCTCCTCCTCCTCCTCCTCCTCCTCCTCCTCCTCCTCCTCCTCCTCATTCTTCTCCCCCCTCCTCATCGTCGCCGTCGCCGCCACCGCCGCAGCGACCGTCGTCGTCGTCATCGTCGTCATCATCATCATCATCATCATCATCATCATCACCACTACCACCACCACCACCACCACAATCATCGTGATCATCAGCATCATCAGCATCAGCATCAGCATCAGCATCAGCATCAGCAGCATCATCATCACCATCATCAGCATCATCATCATCAGTATCAGCATCACCATCATCACCAGTAGCAGCATCATCAGCATCGTCATCATCATCATCCTTATAATAATCATCGTCATCAGCATACGCATCAGCATCAGCACCACCATCATCATGGGCATCACCATCATCACCATCATTATCGCCACCATCATCAGCAGCAGCATCACCATCAGCATCGTCATCAGCATCAGCATCAGTATCACCATCATCAGCATCCGTATCACCATCATCAGCATCAGTATCATCATCAGCATCATCCTCATCAACATCATCAGCATCATCATCATAAGCAGCCGAATCACCATCATCAGCAGCATCATCGTCATCATACACCCTGCTGCTTCGGAGTGGATTACACGAGAACTCCGACCGATCGCACCACGCCCGAAGCTTACTCGTGTTGGTGGTTTCCCCTCCTCGACGAGGGCGCCCAGACCTCGAGCGACGGTGTTCAGTTCGGCGAGTGCTGCGAATGAGAGCGAACTGGCGCCCCTAGCAGGGATCCTTGCCAGCGTCTGGCGCTTCTGGCTCCGCAATAGGCGAAAGAGGGAAGAGGGAAGCAGCGGGTGCCCCCGCCCATCGGACACTTCGTGGAGACAAGAGGCGCAACAAGGGCGACAAGAAGGAGAAGCATCTCCAGGTGAAGGACAGCGGGCTTCGCGAGTTGCCGAAGCTGATCCTCAAGACATTGCACGACAACACCCAGAGGATCAGACTGATGGAGGGCGCCATGCTGGACATCTTCGCCCCTCCCAAGAACCACGCGTTCACAGTGGCGATGCCGCAGGAGCAGGAAGCCTTCGCGAAGCGAGTCGACGAGCACAGACAAGAAGGAACGCGACCTCGCGCCAGTGGGGCCACCGCATCCACTCATCTTCGGCGCCCTGCTGGACGTGGCCTCAGAGAGAGCCGCCGTGGGTGGCCAGAACCAGGAGAACATCAAGAAGCTGTAGGACGATTTCAACGCATGCGAGGAGGTCGAGGACGCGGAGCAGCTGGTACGAGTATGCAGGCTGGCAAAGACAGCGAAGGAAGACGAGGTGAAGCTGATCATGCATCTGACGAACCTGGGCGAACGCCGTCACTGCCTGCTGGAGGGACTCAGACAGATCGGCGCGAGGCACCTCCGCGGCAGCGCTCCGCCAGGCTACATAGAAGAGGAGCTGCAGGAGTGGACGGAGCACCTGGAAGCTAAAATGGCGTGAGTCGGAGATGAGGGGCCGCCACGTTATCTGTCTCGAATGTGGTCGAGGCCGCTGGAGGTCTGCTCCACGTTGGTTTGGTAATCTTCTGTCTCTTGAAAGTGATTGAGACCGCTGGAGGTCTGATCCACGCACTTAGTCGAAAGTACTTTGAGTGTGGCCGGGACCGCTGGCGGTCTACTCCACCTATCGCAGCTTGGGATGGTCTTTCTCTTGAATGTGGTTGAGACCGCCGGAAGTCTGCTCCACACATACTTCTGAGCGTGGCTGAGGCCGCTGGAGGCCTGCTCCACCTCTGATGATGGATGGTTGTCTGCTCGCATTGTCATCTGGTGAGACCTGCAGACGCAGGCGTGCGAGTTGATGAGCAGCTTTCTCTCTTGAGTGTGGTTGAGACTGATGCTGGTCTGCTCCACCCTGGCTCTCTTGTGCGGCTTCGCCACACCGCCTGCCACACCTGGGCCATCGGCCCACACGTTTCTGGATTCCACTTCGTCGTCGGCACGCCCCGTCGAACGCGCGCAGAGCGGTGCCCAGTCCATTTTGGCGCCTGCACGTGCGCGGAGTGCACAGCGACACACATCCGCCATCGAGCGGGCAGAGGGCTCTGGTACTGAAACCCGATCTCCCCCTCCTCATGAGCCCCGAATCTGTTTCAAAAAGCCATCATCATCATCCTCATCATCATCACCACCATCATCGTCCACAACATCCTCATCATATTTCTCATCATCATCATCATCAACATCATCATCAGCAGCAGCATCTTCATCATCATCATCAGCATCAGCATCATCATCATCATCATCATCATCATCATCATCATCATCATCATCACCATCGTCATCATGAGTACCACCAGCATCATCATCGTGACCCTCGTCATCCTCATCATCTCAGCTAGCTAGAAGTCAAGACGAGGTGACTACTAGCACAAGAGAGCCATGGAAAGGCGCTGCGCAACCACCACGGCTGCCCCGCTCGAGGCCCAAGGGAAGCCTTGGCATTTGGCGTGCTACGTGGCGCCTCTGGAAATACAACGGCCTTCGTGATGCACCGAATCCTACCAACCCTGCCTTCGCACATCACGCCCCCCGGTGCGCGACACGCTACAATCTTCGCGCCCTCGCGCCCTCGCGCCGCCGCCCTGAAGAAGGGCAGTCGCTCTGGCCCAAGCCGTGACAACCGAAGCGTGATGATCTTCGCGCAGACGCGGGTGACCTAGTTCCAGAAAGGCCCTTCTTCCACGTCGAGGACCGGCCCACCACTGCTCAGCGTTGGTAAAAGGCCATCCCCCGCTCAACCGGCCGCCGATCTCGAAAACAGCACGGACCCGCCCCCCAGACGACCCTGTCGGAAGACAGTGCGAAGCTCACGTTGCAGCAGAGTCTGCGAGGGGAGGGGGTGCGGGCACACCGCGGTCACTTTGCGTGGACTTTTGGCAAGGGCCATAGCGGAATCGAAGTTGAGGCTGCGCGTTGGCAACGAAGCAACATGATTGCGGACGCATGCGCCGTACATTGTTGTGCTGGCCACCCTGCCGTCACTTCGCATGGGCTTTGTCGAGGATGGTGGAGATGCCGGCACATTGTCCAGTGTGCTGAGACGTACAACTGCGCGCCTGACGCACCCGGCGGCGCGCACCGCACACCTGGGCGCACGTGGCGCACGCGGAGCGCTTGGCGCACGCGGCGCATCCTGCACACCGGGCGCACCGCGAGAGCGCAGCTGGCGCCCGCAGCGCACCGGGCGCCCCTCCTCCTTCCTCCTCCGCCTCCCCCTCCACCTCCCCCTCCTCGTCCTCCTCCTCCTCCTCCTCCTCCTCCTCCTCCTCCTCCACCTCCCCCTCCTCCTCCCCCTCCTCCTCCCCCTCCTCGTCCTCCTCCCCCTCCTCCTCCTCCTCCTCCTCCTCCTCCCGAGCTGCGTCGGCACACCCAGCGCACCGTGGCCCGCCAGGCGTGCGTGTTGCACCTGGCGCGCCCGGAGCGCCTCGGGCACCCGGCGCACTTGACGTTCGTGTTGGTTGCCCGCCTGCAGCAGTGGTGCGCCGACCAGGCAATCACACAGTGTGCAGTGCCACTGGCACGCAGCCAGGTAAGAGCGCTACTGGCACAGCGGTTCAAATGGCCGCGATTATGCCACTGGTCCATCGAACAGCGTGGCGTACCAGTTGGGCAGCAACTGCTAGGGACCACACCTCGGAGCGAGAAAACTCTCGGATGCAATCCTGCTGGAACGCGACATCGCATAGTACTCTCGCAGAGCTGGTGACCTTCATCAAAGGTAGCACACATTGCAACAATAGCTATCACTGTTGTGAGATTACAGCCCTCACGCCGATTAAGTCTTATTGTGTGAATCTCGAGGTGGTGAGTGTGGACACAGCTAGCAACCCGAATTGACACTTGGGGTTGGAAAAATAAGAGTGTGTTCAAACTGCGAAAAAAAACACCCGTCTCACATGGGCCGCATTACATTGTAACAGTTATCGCGAACTGTACAGTCGGCCCGTATAATAAGGATGCGCGATAAGTATGCAAGGGCCTTGGACGCCCATTTCGAAGCTTTTCGAGCGGAGCGCGGCCAACAAGAGTGGCCAAGGATGGACCAAGGAGGCAAGGATGCAAGGGTACCCTTGGGAAGAATGCCCATCCTTATTATGCGGGTTGACTGCACCTTCTGATTTTACGCCTATGAAACATGCGACTTACAAATGCGCCAAGTAATGAAAGCGATGTTGAGCGGCCTTTGCATTTCGTTGTCGTAATTGCGACTGCTATGGGTGGACGGACGTCGTTCCTGGCCACATCAACTATTACAACTGCTACAAAAATGAAGAGGCTTACTACCGTCAGCATGCTTATAGGCCCAGAGAAAAGAAGGAAGCGTAGGCGGGGACGGAGGGGGAAGATGAGGTCGAGGAACGGGTGACGAAGGCGGAGCAGGCGGCCGCGGAGGACGAGGAGAACGACGACAAGGGCGGTGGCGGCGACGACGCCGATGACGGCGAAGCAGCCGCAACGGCAATTGCGGCGAGTACCCTGTCCGCGGTACAGCGACGGCGGGGCCTGGCGCTGGCTCCTCGCCAGACCTCCCGCGGCTCTGCAGCAGCGCGGCCTGGTCGTAGTACTTGGAAAGCCTGGTGACGGCCTGCCGGCAGGAGGCTTGTGCTGAGAAGGAAGAACGGGAGGGAGAGCGGGAAGCAGCAGCAAGATCATGAGGGGTGAGAGGAAGGGGAGGCGCCAGGAGGAGCACGAGGAGCGTGAGAAGGTGAAGGGGCCAAAAACGGAGGCTGGGGGGTGAGATCGCAGTGGGACGGAGAGCCCCCCACGGGAAATCGGATTCGGTTTCATGTTCGTGTCGTGCGTCTGGGCGAGGCCAAGCTGCGTGGGCGCGTGGGACGAATGATGACACCGTGGCTAGGGGCTGTGAAGCCGGATGTCCGCCCCTCCCCCCGCCCGGCGTACGGTGGCCGGGGTGTCCCGTCGGTGGCCCGTCGGTGTCCCGTCGGTGTCCCGTCGGTGTCCCGTCGGTGTCCCGTCGGTGTCCCGTCAAGATCCCGTCGGTGTCCCGTCGGTGTCCCGCTGGTGTCCCGCCGGTGTCCCGTCGGTGTCCCGTCCGTGTCCGGTCGGCGTCCCGCCGGTGTCCTGTCGGTGTCCCGTCGGTGTCCAGTTGGTGTTCCGTTGGTGTCCCGTCGGTGTCCCGTTGGTGCTCCGTTGATGTTCCGACCGTGTCCTGCCGGTGTCGCGTCGGTGTCCCGTCGGTGTCCCGTCGGTGTCCCGTCGGTGTCCCGTCGGTGTCCCGTCGGTGTCCCATTGGTGTCCCGTCGGTGTTCTGTCAGAATCCCGTCGATGTCCCGTCGGTGTCCCGTCGGTGTCCCGTGGTGAAATCGATAGTTAGATTGATAGTGGGAGCGATAATGAAACAGATAGTGAGGTCTATCGTGAGGTACGAGCGATCGTGAAATCGATAGGTGAGATCACTTGTGAAATCAATCGTGAGATCGTCAGAGTCAGCGCGGTAGTGTTAGATCGATAGAGTGAGATCGACAGAGTGAGACCGGAAGTGAGATTGGTAGTGAGAGTGGTCGTGAGATCGATCGTGGGATCGCTGGTGAGATCGATCGAATGAGATGTTGGTTCCCCCCACAACCTCCTTATCACCCAGAGGGTGGTTATATTGGTATGAGGAGGAGGAAGCAGAAGAGAAGGCGGGCAGGGAGGAGAAGCAGAGGGGCCAGAACAGCTCAACCGGCCGGCTCCCTTACTCTGGAAGCGCAGTCGTGGGAGATATCCCAGAGATAATGCATCCTGGCCGACGGTTCCGCTGGCGCCCACGTGCACGGGCACACGGTCGAGCCTTCATGGCGGGCGTCGTGAGGCACCCCTGAACCTGCAAGGGAGCGTCGTATTTTAAACTCGATGTGGGAAGGACGACGGGGGACAGCAGGGGGAGGGAGAGGGAGAGGGAAGAAGGAGGGGAGGAATGTGGATGGATGAGGGGAAGGGGAGAAGGGGGGCAGGCATGTCAGCGGAGCAGTCACTGCGGGACGAATTGCCAACATAGGTTCTCATGCGGCCAAGACCCCTGGCTTCCCGGGTACTCGACGAAAGGACCAGGCTCTGCGGGCCCGTAAAACAAGTCCTGCTCGACACGGGGATACCATCCGCGTAAGAAATAGCCGCTGCGACCCGTACACACTCAAAACCGCCAGTCAAAACATGATCATCCTGGGAGCCTGCTGTTAAGGCAATTACATACCTATACGACCACCCTTCGGGTGATAAGGAGGCTCGGGGGGGGAGGAACCAACGTCTCACTCGATCGGTCTCACTATCGATCTCACTATCAATATCACAATCGGTCTCGCTCGATCGACCTCACTCGCTGGATATCACAATCGATCTCACTCGATCTATGTCATTCGATCGATATCACAGTCGATCTGACTATCGATCTCACAATCGATCTCACTATCGATCTCACAAGTGATCTCACATGCGATCTCACTATCGATCCCCGAATCGATATCACAATCGATCTCACAAACAACGTCATCATCATCAACATCATCGTCATCAACGTCATCAACATCGTCATCATCATCATCATCATCATCATCATCATCATCGGGGCACCATCAGCATCATCATCACCGCATCACCATCATCATCATCATAATCATCATCACCATCATCATCAGCGGGACACCATCATCGTCACCATCATCATCAACAGCATCATCATCGGGGCACCATCACCATCAGCACCGGGACACCACCATCACCATCATCATCTCATCATAATGAACATCATCATCAACAACATCATCATCGGGACACCAGCATCATCATCAGCAACATCATCATCATCATCATCAGCAACACCATCATCGGGACACCATCATCATCGTCACCATCATCAGCATCACCATCATTATCATCGGGACACCATCAACATCAACATCAGCAACATCATCATCTCCATCATCGGGCCACGATCATCAAAATCATCATCACCACCTCATCATCATCCTCATCATCAACTTCATCAAACGGCACCATCATCGTCATCACCAGCATCATCAACATCATCATCATCATCATCATCATCATCATCATCATCATCATCATCGGGACACCATCATCATCACCATCATCATCAACAGCATCATCATCAGTATCATCAACATTATCGGGGCACCATCATCATCATCATCATCATCATCACCGCATCACCATCTCATCATCGACATCATCAGGATCATCAACATCATTATCATCATCATCATCATCATCATCACCATCGGGACACCATCATCATCAACAACATCATCATCAACTTCGTCAACATCATCATCATCATCACCAGGAACATCGGGACACCATCATCATCATCACCACCATCACCATCATCATCATCATGAACATCATCGACATCATCATCATCATCATCGTCATCGTCATCATCATCATCATCATCATCATCATCATCATCATCATCATCATCATCATCATCATCATCATCATCATCATCATCATCATCATCATCATCATCATCATCATCATCATCATCATCATCATCATCATCGGGACACCGACGGGATACCGGCGGGACACGGGCGGGACACCGCGCGGCTCCGGCCCCCGGGAAGGAAGCATTTGGTCCAGCCGCGCCTCAGCCGGAGACGGAACACCGACGGGACACCGCGCGGCACCGGCCCCCGGACAGGAATCATTTGGTCTGGCCGCGTCTCAGCCGGAGGAGACATTCTTCTCGCCCGCCCACGCAGCTTCGCCTCGCCCGCACGCACGGCACGCACGAGCACGAAACCGAAACCGATTTCCCGGTAGGGGGGCTCTCCGTTTCACTTCGATCTCACCCCCTCACCTCCGACTTCCTACATCGACTGATTCCAAATATCGCTGGTTCATGACTGTCGACACTATTGAAGCCAACCGCTTCGACGTATCAAGTGCGCCCACCTAGCATCACATCCCGAATACCAGTGAAAAACAATTATGAATCTCGCATGCTCCCCACACAGTGGTTGCGCTCAGAGGTTTTCACTTGTGTTTCAACGAACTGGCCCTCTGGGCAACACTTTTCCAAGTGGATGATTTGATCACGATTCACTCCTATGGGTCAGTACGGCTCACGATGCGCTCCTATGGGTCAGTACGGCTCCTTACCCACCCTTGGGCCACTCTTTCGGCGGTGGCTGCTTGGATCCCCATGGGTTGCCATAGATTCCGAGGGCTTCTCCCCCACCGTTGGCGTCGTGGTGTCCCACTTGCCGTGGTGGCTGCTTGGATCCTTCTCGGCACCTATGGATCGACATGGCCTCCTCCCTTTCCGCACTGGCCCGGTCTGCAGTATTTTCCGGAGTGGCCGCTTGATCCCCCTGTCCGCAGATATACACACGGGGCTCCACACTTACACGCACACTCACACACGCACACACATTCTCACACATATGTGTTTCTTCCGACACGCGGCTGAATCAAAACCACGGCTGCATGATAACAGATACACAAGCGCGCATGCACAAAGACACACACACACACACGCACGGACACGCACACGCACACACACACACAAACGCACACGCACACACACACACACACGTGTTCCTCCAGAGGCCGAGCAACGTCACGACAACGACGGCTACAAAGGGGACACGGTAAAACAACATTTCACCAGCCATTGCCTGTGGTGGGCTGCGCTAGGCAAGTCGGTGTGCGGAGGTGCCCGCTGGGCGTTGCGAGTGGGTGGCTGCGCTGGGTGAGCGCACGTGCAGACATATCCAACCCAGTGGGTGCATGAGCGGAGCCGACACGTCCAAGTCGCGCAGGAGAGCGTAAAGAGTGGTAGAGCTAAGAGAGCCGCTCAAACCGCCAGTCACGACAGCGCCAGCGGCACTCTCCGAGCGCCAGCATCGCACACACACACACACACACACACACACACTTGCTGCACGAATGAACTATTTGGGGCCCACGCGCTGGCATGCACTCACTCTGGGCGATCTGCAGATCCGCCTGGCTAGACGCGCCAAAGCGGGCACGGCAACGCCATCCTCCATGTATTCACGACACCGCGACTGAGACTCAAGTCTCGTATGCCAGACCAACTGCACGAGCAGCTTCACCGCATCACCGAAGTCTGCCACTGCACCTGCTTTTCGCAAAGGCACACCATGGCGGCAGGTGACCAGAAAGATTATCATTACTAGGTCAGATCACATCATACTGAACTTGCTGTACATACGGGAGGCCATACGAAGGACCACATGAGAGACCCGACGGGAAACCACACTGAAAACCGCCCGACAGACCGCACTGAGGAGCATACGGGAGACCATTCGGGAGACCACTCAGGAGACCGCACGGTAGACCACGGGAGGCCAGGCTAGATACCATACGGGAGACCATCTGGGAGGCCATGCGACAGACCGTGCGGGAAACCATGCGGGAGACCACACGGCTGACCGTGCGGGCGACCAGACGGGAGACCATACGGAAGACGCTGCGGGAGAACGTGCCGGAGCCCATGCGGGAGACCATAAAGGTAGACCATACGGCCATGCGAGCGACCACGGGCCACGGACAACCGATCCTGGATCCGGAGTCGCTCACGCACGGACTCGGTGCAGGACCCCTGCAGAGAAGCTGCGAGGGAAAGACGTCGACACCGACCTCCGAAGAAACATGCGTGGACTCGTGGCTCGCAGCAGGACTGAACCTAAAAGGTGTTTGTCGTGTTCGTTTTGGTTTCGTTTTCCCTGGTTTTGCCTTCGATCCGCCTTTACCGCAAAACGAAGTCGAAACGAAAACGGCCCACGAGATCGCCAAAACACCGTTTAGGTCCAGCCCTGGCTCGCAGCCTTCTGGCCTCGCGACTCCCCGTGGCCCCAATGTGGTTCGGCCTTCTTGAGCACCTCGACCGTTACCATCTGGTCTCCGACGGTCCTCTGGAAATCCATGTTGGCATACTTGCGCTCCTGAGAAATCCATGAGAAATCATGTCTCATACTTGAAATCCATGAGAAATCATAAGAACTCCATGAGAAACCATGAGAAATCCATGTCGGCATACTTGCGCTCCTGAGAAGTCCATGCCTCTGAAAATCCATGTGGAGGTCAATGAGAATCATGAACACACCCTCTCAGACGAATGGGGACATGTGCAATTATCCCAGGCTCATGGCTGGTGGTGACATTCGTGACGATACAACGTCGCTTACCTGTCGCGAGCTCGAGAGCCCACCGACGCGATTCAACGAGAAACTGAAGCTGGCCAGAACAAGGCAGACCGTCCATGGCGTAGCCGTCATGGCAAGTTCAGTCACGGTCGAGTTGCGAGGCCCAGGAGGCGTACTCCATACTTTACGAAGGGGTAAGCACCCTCACGCCCCACACGTGCCAGGTCTGTAATATAACTATATTTGAACAGGCTCGGCAAACGCTGCAGGATATTCACATTACTATCTGGGAGTGTCAGTTGGGGCACGTGCTTAGCCATGAATTGGTCTCAAGTTGACAGAAGCGTGCAACGCGTGCGTACGCCACCCGACAACGAAGCCTACAGCCGAAAAGGAGGTCGGGGTGAGACCAACTGTTCATTTTGGTCCCCACGCTCCCCTGCAATAGTGCTTCCAGTCACCCAGGACGCAGGCGCATCGCGCTTGCTGCCCAAGAGACTCGATGCGCAATTGATCCAGTATCTGGTGGCACTTGGCTCCAATTCGAGTGGCATCTGCAGCATGTGCTTCGCAAAGGGCCCACCATGTATCCAGAGCTGGCGCAGACGTGCTTTACAACTGCTCAAGGTTGAACGACCGTCAAACTATACAGTATAGACGTACCACGATAGGGGATTGAAACTAATTCAAAACAGGTATTCCCAAATAAATCGTCAATCAAACATACTTCACTCATAAACGATTACGCATTATACAACTGTGATTCGCCCAATGACGCCACGCCAAAATGGCACAGCGACACCACCGCACCGCGACACTGCGAAATCGCGACGCTGCAAAACCACTGCAACACGACGCAGCCACAACCCGAGCACGCGGGCTCCGCCGTTCCGCCTGATCTAAGAGTCATCGCTCTCGCGCACGTCTTCGAACGCACGTCACGGGCGACACGGAGCACGAAACCGCCATCTCCTCGTGGGGCGGGGCGGCTTCACAGGCGCTCTCGCACCTCCAACCTCCAACTTGTGACCTATGCAGGACCTACTCAGCTCAAGATCAACGGATCCCGAGCTGAGCACCGAAGTGCACATTCAGAGCCTCGCCGACGTACATGATCACAACAGTCGTTCTCTGCAACGCATGCTCCATCCTCCCTCCCTGACACCTCCCGCACTCGCCCATCCATCACCCCCTGTGACTCCTTCATCCCTCCCTCCCTCCCTCCCTCCGAATTCCTACCCTCCTCTCGCACTGACAATTCCCTCCCCAAGCCCAGTCCTGATTTGTCCTGCCTCCCCGATTTGAACGCCCCCCAACCATACCACGTGCCCAAAAGAGTGCATGTGTGGCGGGTGAGCTGATGAAATGCTAACTCTGACATGAACTCGCACTCCCCCTTTGAGCCCACCTCAGAAATCCACCGGCACGTAGGGAATATCGCAAGCCGCGCTACCTGTCAACAAGTGCGGCAAAACAACCATGACAATTGCTACACCTGATTGCCCGGGGCTGGTCAGGGATTTCCCCACATATGGCATGGCTCTTAGTACTACTGGTACTTGTCACTAGCTGACCTGTGGCCAATCAGATGTTCTGGACCAGCGAGAAGACGCTGCACATTATCACGATGCAAGGCAGGGGCGCAAGACCCTTTGGGTGTCCCCGGCGCGATGAGACCGAAATGTTCCCAGGATTGGCCATAGAGGCAAGGATGCAAGGCACCCAGAGACAATCAGATTATCCTCCCCTGAGACCCGACATTGCGGAACAAAAATAAGCCCGAAAATCCAGACGCAGCCCCAGACCTCATCTTTCTGCAACATGTCTCGAGCCCGATCGATCCGCGATCGTTCCGTGGCCCGACACCGGGCGAAAACCCCTGGCGAGAGAAAGTTGCGACGCCCGGATATCGTGCTGATGATCGGCAGCGATTGCAGTCATGGGACAGGGCTGTAAGCTGTTTTTTCAAGGAGATCGCGAGGTCAGGGGAAGACGACGACGGCGAAGACAGGGGGGGTCTCCAGGCTCGCGCTCTGCAGCTCGACCTGGGCCTGGGAGATCTGCTTCTGGGCCTCCAGGATGCCTTCCTGCCGAGGCCACGATTTGCCCTGCTGGGCACTGTCATCTCTTTTTGTTGCTGTCTGATCGTGTCGCCCACGTGGTCTCGACTCGCTGGGGCTGCAATCACAATGCGAAATTGCAGGTCGCCAGGCCAGCCGGGAACGCTACATGAGCCGATCTGCAATAGGCAAGCACATTCAGGGAATCGTGGCCTGAGAGAAATGAGCCTGGCGCGACCCCAATGACGAGAGAACTTCCTATTGCATGGGCGTGTTGCTTGCCATTGCTTGGCATTGTGTTGCATTGCGTCGCCTTGCATTGCTTGGAATGTCTTGGCACCGCTTGGCAAAACCTGACATTTCTTGGCATTGCTTTGCCCGGATTGGCATTGCTTGACGTTCCTTGGCATTGCTTGGTATTCCTTCGCAATGCTGGGAAAGCCGATGACCAAGACCAGGGAGCCCGAGGAACCCAAGCAAGGCACAAGACTGGAGAACCCGAGGAACAAGACCAGGAAACCCGAGGAAGGAAGGCAAAGGACAAGACCCGTGGACCTCCTCCTCCTCCTGCTCGCCTCCTGCTCCCGCTCTTGGGCCCATCTTGGGCCTGTTCTGGGGTGGTCTGGGGCTGTCCTGGGCGCCTCTTCGGCAGTCTTGGAGCCTTCTTGGCCCGTCTCGGGGCCGTCCTGAGGTCCTCTGGGATGGTCTTGGGGCGGTCTTGGGAGCCTTTCGGCGCTCTTGGACCATTGGAAGCTCGAAAACGTGAACAGCCAAAAGCATTGGACAAAAACAATTGAAATTGTACAATTTTGGCTTCTTCGGGCCGTCTCGGGACGCCTCTAGGACCTCTCTTGGGGTCTCTTGGAAGCCACCGGGGAGCCTCGAGTGCCGTCGGAAGGCTGACTTGGGCTGCTTGGGAGCGTCTTGGACCATCCTTTCGCGTTCTGGGGGCTCCTGGGAGGCGTCTTAAGCCCTTCTGGAGCGCTGTGTGTGAAAACTCCCTGGAAAGGCCGGGGGACCGGTACCGGGAGCATTCCCGAGATGCTCCCGGGGAGGTGTGGGACCCGGGGCTGTGGGGGGGCGGTATTTTTTGTTTCATATACTAGAACCACGCGCGCGCTTCGCGCGCGCTCAGGTTCCAGCGAGCTCCAGTTGTAGTCTAAAATGTCCGGCATCGGAAGACAATATTGTCACAAGGATCATGCACCTCAGGGGGCTCCGCCTGCGGTCCCTCAGACAGGCTTGACTGAGGGTCCACCTGCCCATGCCGGCACACCCTTCACAGGCATCGCGTGCTGCAGGGAGACTCACGTGATTACATCCCAATAGACGAGGTTCGCACAGTGGCACGCCCCTCACGCGGACCGTGCCCGCTCACTTCGGCACACCTCTCACAAGGATCGTGGCCGGTCGGACATCCACGGACGGCCCCAAAGACAAGGTTCGCGTCCCGCCATCCCGCCTACTTCGGCACACCTCGCACAGGGATCGTGATCGTGGCCCACAGGGATCCCCACCAACGGCCCCCGAAGCAGGGTTCGCACTGCGCCCCCCCCCTGGCCATGGCGGTACACCCCGTCACGTGGATCATGCCCACAAGGAGCACCACCTGAGTAAAGGCCCAGAAGGTTCGAACAACGCCCCCCCCCGCCCATGTCGGCACGCTAGCCCCCGTAAGAACCAGGCGGTCACTTTGCGCTCCACCACTTCACTCTGCTTCTGCTGTGGCCTCCTCTTCCCCCCTTCACAACGCTTGCCCCTGCTCGTCGGTGCCCCCCCCCAAACCTCGGGGGAGGGCAGGGCCGTCAGGCATTGCCGGCACGCCGCCGTTCGGCCACGCGTTCGGGGGTAACCTGTGACACGTTGGTAGACACTCTGATGTAGTAGGCAAAGGGGAATAACAGCTGAGTCTGCTTCGCTGTCAACGTACAGGTTGATGGGTTCCGCTGGCCTGGTGTGGCATCTTGCGGGTGGCGCCTCCGGTCAAAGCTGAAGCTCGGCCAGGCTCCAGTCCGAGCGACGCTCGTTGAGCGGGGCCCTTCTTCCAGCCAGCGCATATAGCGGCCTCTCATTGGCGCTGCCACCCTTGTCTCTTCCCACGTGCTGTCCCTAACCGCAGCAAGCTCCACCTCCTGTCCCCTCCAAGCCCGATCACCCGCTCCGCCGCATTACCCCAGCCTCCTCCCCCCTTCGCAACACTTCGCCTCTGATCGTCGGTGCCCCCCCCACCTCCCCCAACCTTGGGGGAGGGCAAGGTCGTTCAGCCGCCAGATGGTGGCTGCTGCGACCGTTCCGCGCAGATTGCGGCCCTCTAGGAAACCGTTTTGGGGGTTGCTAGCGCGGGCAGGCCCCCATCTATCAACCCCCACAACAGGCTCTGCGAGTTGGGGGCTCCCCGAGCAATGGGTGTCCACCATTACCAGTTCCTCGGTCTTTCCTGTTCCACCGAGTAACTGTCAATGGCGGCCCGCTCGCAGACCCGGAAGAACAGTCAGTGATCCTCCTGCTCTTCCTTCTCCTGCTCCTCCGTGGTCATGGTCCGCGCAAGGAGACAAGACCGGGGCACCCTCGAGCCCCCGAGACACCCCCTGGCACAGGGCCGCGACAAGGCAACTCCGAAGAACGCCAGGACCCACCGCGCCCGGCACCCACGGGTTCCTCACAAAGACGTCAGACACTCTCAGGTCGGGCCTGATTGGAGAAAAACGGGGGGGCCTGAGTCACTGCCAGAGACACGGGTTCTTAGCAAAGACGTAAGGCAGGTCGGGCCCACTTGGGAAAAAACGGGCGGGCCTGAGCCACTGCCAGAGACTTGCAAGTGGAGCGAGTCTCCACTGCTCCAGAAACTTGGCCGGTCTGGAAAGCTTCACCGCCAGCGGAAGCGCCCAATAATTGAAATGCCGAGGGATGGTCCCACCCGAGACCAGCAATGGCCGCTGGGAGGGCCGGATGCAAGCCAGAAGAAGGGCTGGCGCGCCAGCAGACAACCAGGTCGCAGCCGCTACGGGCGCTCCCTTCGCTTTCCTTTCGTGGGCGGCTCCCGGATGCAAGGAGGATGGCGACGACGACCGGGCGGAGGAGAGGGAGGAGGAAGAAGAGGTTGATGAACATCTCGAGGATGACCATGAGATATGAGATCCGACGTCGCGAAAAAGATGTTACACATCGCTAGAAATCAGGACACGAGCTCCAGACCCAATTTTTCTGCGTCAGATTTCAAGCTGGATCGATCTGTGATGGCTCCTGGCCCTGAAGCCGGGCGAAAACACCCGTGTGAAGAAATTGCAACGCCCGGATCTCAGGATCCTTCCGTGGGCAGCCCTGAATGGCTAGGAGGAGGGCGACGACTACCATGCCGAGGAGAGGGAGAGGAAGGAGGAGGAGGAGGAGGAGGAGGAGGAGGAGGTGGAAGGGAGTTCTGGAGTTCTGGCTACAAGACGATGTCTCACCTTACCAGAGCGTTCCAACTGCGTGCTGATCACACTGGAAGGCCATAACCACGTCGCAGCTCGCCAGCGCTGGAGAGCGCAACGCCCAGGCGCGCGAACGCCCCGAGCACCGGCCGCGCCGCCCACACGGCGGAAGGGGGGGGGGGAGGGGGGGGGGGTCTTGGCTCTGGACATCTGCTCAGTGCAACTGTTTGCAGCAGTGCGTCCTAGAGGGGGGAGACACCACCTGCCCGAAACAGGCGCCAAAAACAGCCACGATCCACTCCAGGGGGTGGCGGGGGAGGGCCCGCGCCGATCGGCAACACAATGAACAAGAAAACCATCACACAAACAGCGCCTCCCTGCCGCACCCCAAGACGGGTGGGCAGGTCGTGCCCCGCGCTGTGCAGGAGGCTTCGCTCCGAAGCTCGGACCGTGCAGCGACCTCCTGGATGGACGGCGGGTCATGCTCGAGCCGTGGCTGCCGCCCCGGCGCCGCGCACAGGTGCCTCAAGAGTCCGCAGCCGCTCCACGGGCGGAAGGCGGGGCGTTCTCAGCACGCGGCCCTCGCCACGGCGCCGCGCGCGCGCGTCCGGGAGGTGCGCAGCAGCTCCACGGTCGGAGGGCGGGTCTCGCCAAGGCGCCGCGCACGTGTGTCCTCGACGCGCGCAGCAGCTTCACGGTTGGAGGGTGGGTCGTTTGCAGACGGTGGCTCTCGCCAAAGCGCCGCGCGCGTCTTTCTTGGACGTGCGCAACGGCTTCACCAATGGAGGGAGGTCCTTTCTCAAAAGGTGGATCTCGCCGTGGTGCCGCGAGCACGAAGTACACATTCTGGCACGGTTGAGGGCTGTCATGATGCAACGCTCACGTTGGTTCGCGGTGTCGGAATCCCAGAAATGAGGTTATGGTACGACGTAAGGCTGCCAGCACGCGAGAAGTCACGGTGATCCGTGGCGTCGAAATCCCATGAACTGCGTTCTGGCACGATTGAAGACTCTCCAAGCAATGTTTGCATGTGGGCAATTCCAGCAATGAAGACATGAAACCACTGAAAAATTGGAGAGAGGTTTGTTGCAACATCGCTGGTGTCTCTTGGGTTTACACTGGTCGTCTGTCCTATTCCTCCTCCTCCTCATCATCATCATCCTCCTCATCCTCTTACTCCTCCTCTTACTCCTCCTCCTCCTCCTCCTCCTCCTGCTGCTCCTCCTCCTCCTCCTTCACCTCGTCCTCCTACTCGTCCTCTTTCTCGTCCTCCTCGTCAGTCTGATTACCCTCGTCCTCTTCCCCCTCGCCCTAGAAGAAAGAGGAAGACGACGACCGACGACAACAAGGTGAGGAAGAAAGGAAAAATGTAACTTGACTGGGGTGGGGCAGCGTGGGTCCCCACAGCGCCCGCCTGCTCGCTCCAACCGCGAGGGAGGAGGGACGGAAGACGACGGGGCGGATGACTTCAGCCACGCACGGCGCAACAACAGATCAGCGAAAAAACGCAGACCGTACACCGGTACCCGCAGGCTGCCGTCCCGCTCCTCGTCGCTCTGTGGACGAGCCTCGCTGTCCGTGGTGACGGCCGGCGCGCCCTGACCCGCATGCCGGAGCAGACGCCGCGAGGTCCCCCCCCCACACTGCCCCGTGCCTCGAACCTCTTACGCACTCGGCGGATGAGTACAACCGCCACCGCGGGAGGCAGAATGAGGGCCTCAGAAGCAGCGGCAGACGACCCTACATCTCAATCCTCTGTGGCCGGGGAGGCCCATCGTATGGCAAACCAGTAAAAGGGACACGCTGCCGGCGACAGCCCTCGAAATAGCAGAAAACAACGAAGCGTAGGACGGTGAGCTCCGACGCCTCCTTGACAGCCGCGAACTGGCACGTGCCCTTACCCTTGTCGATGAGTTGGCCCTTGATCGCCCTAACCCAGTTGCCAGCCTTCTGAAAGAACACGCTGGGGCTGACGATCCGGTCGCCCCCCAGGACCCACGGCTTGCCTGACTCCCTGAGCGCCCTGCCGGATGTTCTGCAAGACCCCATGGCTGACGTCCCCCACCGCGTGTTTGTTCAAGTAGGCTGACCCCATGGGGAAGACTCCAAGCACGAGGCCGTCAAAGTGTGCCAAAGCTGCCCTAGTCGCTGCAATGTGGCACGACTCTTCAGTCCAATTGCGCACCTGGGACGCACATCCCTCGCTTCACGATCGTTTTGCTGCCACTCCCGTGCCACCACTGGCCACCCTGTGGCTTACGCCTTCATGAGTGATGGCTCCAGGGCTCAGGACCGCGTGGAACCCGACTTCCCTGCACCACTGCTCCTGCTCCACGTCGCTCTTGCAGCTCAGGTGGTGCTACTAGATCAGGTAGCCGTCTGCCTGATGCTTCTGGTACGCCTCGTTCGGGTACTCCGTCGCGGGTGTGAGAATCGTGGTGGATGGTCACGAGCTGTTCACAGTGATGCTCACGATGGTGAACATGCTGCCTCCGCTTTCTCAAATCTTGACTGGGAGGGCTCGGAAACCTTGTAGCAAACGCTGCAGCTTGGCCTTCCGAATAATCACAACGTCGACAACAGCTGCTTCATCAGCCGTGTCTCCCCCTCGGTGGCTCCGCCTTCCGCTGCTGCTGCAGCTTCTTCAATGGCTTCGTCCACCAAGTCCTCCAGCTCATCCTCCTCGAGGCCGAACTTGGAGGCGTCGGTCGGCGCCGTCGCCCCCTGTCCACTAACTCGCTGGCCACGCGCCGCATGGGCCCGACCTGTTTCTCGCGGTACGTGGGCTCGAGCATACCGGCTGCCTCCCCGAGCGCCTTGCTGAAGTTGGCCGCTCGATCCGCTTGCCCACTGGGTCAGACTTCAGCAGCTCCTTGCCCTACTCCTGCGGCGCTTGAGTTTGCTGACCCCGCCGCTGTTGCTGCTGGGTTGGTGCAGCACCGCCTGCTGCTGCTGCACTTGCATCGCCTGCTCCTCCACGCACGATTTCTTCCTCTAGGCGAGGTTCCTCCTTCCCAATTCCTGCGATGAGGTCACCCAGCTGCATGATCACCTTCTCGAGCCCGACAGAGGCTTCCTCCTTTTCCTGGATGTCTTTACGCTTCCCCTCCAGCTTGGCAGCCCCTTGGTCCAGGCTCTTGGTCTGCGCGGAGAGCGCCTGCCCCGTAGCCTGCTTAGTTTGCTGCCTCTTCTCGAACTCCCCCCGTTGATGGGACAGCGGCCGCTCCAGGTCGATCTGGGCACCCAGGTGATGCGCCTCTGCTCTTTTGGGCTCCAGCTCTTTCTCGGCCGCCGAGACACCCTCCATTTTCTTGATCTCGCCACGCGGCCCCCCCATCTGTCGCGATTGTTCCTTCTTGTGGTGCTGCTCGCCGTGATCGCCCCCTTCGCCGCCGCCCTCGGTGACGACTTCCTCGCCCCCCAGGCGCTTGATATTCATCCTGAGCTGCTAGAGTTCGTGCCTTTCCTTGGCGTCCAGGTTGGGCGCGCCACTCCACCACGAACCCCACCGAAGTGTGAGATGCCGCTTCCCCGCCCCACGATGGCAAGCAGGCCACAGTCCCTGCACGTGCTTCGAGTGCCCGAGTTCCTCTTGGCGCCGCACGTTGAACAACCCCAACGTTGGCCCCTGCCATGCTTGGACTATTGCCCCTGGCCGCATCCACCCGTCTATCGCCCCATTGGTCTAACCTGCGACGTCGCCTGGGCTCGGGAATGCAGGCTCGCTGCAGTGCGAGATGCGCTATATGGAATGACTGTCGCCTCTGGAGCCGCGATAAGATATGTAGATCACTTTGGCTCAAGCGCCACGTCTCGTGCTCGAAGGGCCACTGAACGACTCGCAGTCGTCGGCGCTTGCACCATTTTGAGCCAAAACGGTTCGAGTCAGAATGACTGCGGATGATGATGGTGACGATGATGATCATGATGGTGATGATGATGGTGATGATGATACTGGTGTTGATGATGATGGTGATGGCAATGATGATGACAACGATGATGGTGATGCTGCTAATGATATGGTTGTTGGCGATGGTGACGATGATAATGATGATGATAATGAAACCGATGATGGTGGTGATGCCGATTTTGATGCGGATGATGCTCATGTTGATGCTTGCTATGATGATGGTGATGGTGATGATGATGATCATGGTGACCAGACAATGATGATGATGGTGCTGATGATAATGAGGATGATGATGCTGATGATGACGATAATGCTGCGTATTGGTTTGATTGGCGATGATGATGCGTATTGCTGCGGATGGCGATGATGATGCTGCTGATGATGATGATGCTTATTCGCATGATGGTGATGATGCTGGCTATGATGGTGGTGATGCTGATGGTGATGGTGATGGTGATAGTGATGAGGATGCGGATAATGAATATGATGATGATGGTGATGAGGATTATGCTGCTGTTGATGACGAGGATGCTGATGTTGATGATGATGCTGATGGTGGTTGTGAGCATGATGATGATGGTTATGATGATGATGACGCTGATGATGATGATGATGATGATGATGATGATGATGATGATGATGATGATGATGATGATGATGATGATGATGATGACGACGATGAAGACGCGCTCAGACGGCGGGCTGCCTGGACATATCATCCAGCAGGGAGGGGGAGGGACGAGGAGGAGCAACGGCAGCAGTAAGAAGAAGAAGAAGAAGAAGCAGCAGAAGAAGAAGAAGAAGCAGCGGAGAGAGGGTCCCGCGGGCCGGAGGGAGCAGGACGAGGCCCTGGACCGACGAGCGGGCGACAGAGGCCGCCGCGCCGGCAGGCCCCGCGGGGCCCGTCCGAGCTGCCCCGCCAGCACCACTGGCGGCCGCGCAGGGCGGGAAGCAGCAACTGGGCTGGGCTGCGGCCACCCCGCCGAGAGCCTCGAGCCCGCGGATGGTGGAGGAGGGGGAGGAGGAGGAGGAGGAGGAGGAGGAGGAGGAGGAGGAGGAGGAGGAGGAGGAGGAGGAGGAGGAGGAGGAGGAGGAGGAGGAGGAGGAGGAGGAGGACGGAGAGGAGGAGGAGGAAGAGGAGGAGGAGGAGGAGGAGGAGGAGGAGGAGGAAGAGGACGAGGAGGAGGAGGACGAAGAGGACGATGAGGAGGAAGAGGAGAAGGAGGAGGAGGAGGAGGACGACGACGACGACAATGGCGACCAGTAGGAACAGGGTTGCTGTGGGCATTCCTGGTGCTTGGCGATCCAAGATCCAACAAAATCAGACGCCTACGAGCCCGAGAACTCCCCAAGGGGAGCCGACGGACGCGTCTAAGCCTCGCCTCGGGTCCTCACCAAGGGGAGGTCGGCCTCCTCGAAGGGAGGAAAAGAGTGCGAGCCTCGAGCGTGTGGACGTTGGACTCGAGCTCGCTGGCCTTGGCCTGCATGTCCGACTTCCGGTCCTGCGGGCTCGGTCCGGCCGGGGCAGGAAAAGCAAACCTGGAAGAGCCGCACACGAGCAGCGCTGAGAGTCAGGGACGGGAAGGGCGGCGGGGAGTGAGGTCAAAGCAGGATAAGAGACGAGCGTAAAGAAAAAATGAGGATGAGGAGGAGGAAAAGGAGGAGGAGCGGCATGGGGAGGAGGAGTTCGAGGAAGAGCATGGGGATGAGGAAGAGGGGAGGAATGAGGAGGCGGAGGGGTCTGAGGACGGGGGAGAAGCGTGAGCACGAGGGGGAGGGGATGAAGACGAGTGGCGGTTCTGCCCAACCAGGAGCTGCGGCCCTCGCCATCCCCGTGTTCCCAGCGCTCCTCTCGAGGACTCGAATATAGGAATGGGCCCGCCGAAATCCACCCCTTCGCCTCCTCAACGAGCCGCTCGAGCGAAAGCGACTGCCGCCAGAACGGAGTGACTCAGCACTGCACCCGAATGCGGCCACAGGACACAGAAGGCGAGGGGGGAACATTAGCAGGAGGAGGGAAGCGGCGGAAAGGACGCAGTCAACAAAGTATGAACAGGAAGAGAAGGCATACAAGGAGAAGGAAGAGCAGCACGAGACAAGCTAGGCAGCTCAAACGAGCCTGTGGGCACCAACCACGCCCGCCCGCCCTAAGAACGGAAGGCGATCGCGCGCTGGCCCTGCTTCCAAAGACCTGGCGAGCGAGACTATGGACCGCGCACTGGCGGAAACAGACCCCACACAAAACCCTTGCGCAGTGCTCGGTCCACAGCACCGTTGAGATCCCCCGCGCGCAGGCAAGCCCCAGACAAGACCGGCGGAGGCAGAACGCACGCCGCGCCCAAGCGTGGGCACAACTTCCGAGCTAAACCTGGGAAAGCGAGAGCGACACCTCGCTCTACAGTCGGAGGCCTGTAAATGGGCACCAACACCAACACAGGGGGGTTGCCTCCACAGGAGGAAGATGATCCTAGATTTCGGTGTTGGTGGTAATCTTTCGGCCACCTATAGGAAGCCCAAATGTTACCACCATCGCCGAGATCGAGATCGCCATCCCTCCGTGGAAGCACACCGCCGATGCTGGTGGTGGTGCCAACCTCCGGGCCTGCGATACAGGGCGCGGCCCCGACTCCGGCGACGGGGCGAGCGAGGCACGTGCCCCTCGTCCCGGGCGGGAGCGCTACTCTCCGACGAAGGGAGGAGGAGGGAGGAAGAGGGAGGAGGAGGGAGGAGGAGGGAGGAGGAGGGAGGAGGGAGGAGGAGGGAGGAGGAGGGAGGAGGAGGGAGGAGGAGGGAGGAGGGAGGAGGAGGGAGAAACCCGCGCAACGCGGGGGGAGAGAGCACGACCTGCCGCCCGCTCGCGCGCGGTCCCCGGGCGCCCGACGAGCGGGCGAGCGCAACAATAGGTGCGCCGCGCCCGGCCGGCCCAATGTTACTCAGGAGGGGAAAAAGCACACAGACACATTTTTTTACACCGCAAACACCCACCAACTTGCTCCCACCAAAAATATGGCTGAATAATGAAACATCTGCTCGATTGTGTTGAATCCGCTTCCCCACAATGGGGCTGTACCAGATCCCATTGAAGCGCGTACGGACACGGAATCGTACAGGTCAGAGCACACAGACACAATGAATCGTCGATTCCCCGGAAAATATAAGAAAATATGGCAAGTGGGGGGAAGCCAACAAAAAACATGAAATATGGAGAAATATGGGAGGCATCCTGTCATTCATGTCTAGTTATTTGTGTGTCCCAGGGCCCCTTCAGTTACGGAACAGCGCCCGCGGGGCTGGGGCGAGAGCGGCATGCCACCACCTCCCTCGCGCTGAGCGCCGCGCCGCAGTCCTGCCACGCATGTTTGCAGCGTCGACGGCAGGACGTCCATGATGACTAGAATCAGGCGTCGACTCCGCATCGGCCTGTGATGGGACGCACAGCGGCATACTAAAACTGTGTGTCCTCCTTGGAGGCGTGCGTCCGACCCGAACAGATAGTATACCCATCTTGTAGTACCTATACGACCACCCTTAGGGTGGTAAGGAGGTTCGGGGGGGGAGGAGTCAACGTCTCACTCGATCGGTCTCACTGCCGATCTCACTATCGATCTCACTATCGGTCTCGCTCGATCGATCTCACTCGATCGATCTCACAATCGATCTCACTCGATCTATTTCATTCGATCAATCTCACAATCGATCTGACTATCGATCTCACAATCGATCTCACTATCGATCCCACTATCGATCTCAGATTCAGTATCACTATCGATCTCACTATCGATACCACTATCGATCTCACAATCAACGTCATCATCATCATCATCATCATCATCATCATCATCACCATCATCATCATCACCATCATCATCATCAGCATCATCGTCATCAACGTCATCAACATCATCATCACCGGGACACCATCATCAGCAACAGCATCATCATCACCTCATCACCATCATCATCAACATAATCAGCATCACCATCATCATCACATTCATAATCGGGACAACATCATCGTCAGCATCATCACCATCATCAACATCATCATCATCGGGGCACCATCATCATCATCGGAGCACCACCATCCTTTTCCTCATCATCATCCTCACCAACCAAATCATCATCATCATCATCATCATCATCATCATCATCATCATCATCATCATCATCATCATCATCATCGGGGCACCATCATCATCACCATCATCATCTTCATCATCATCTCATCATCTCATGTCATCAACATCATCAGGATCACCAACATCATCATCATCGGGACACCATCATCATCAGCATCAGTAACTTCATCATCATCAACATCATCAACATCGGGACACCATCATCATCAACACCATCACCAGCATCATCATCAACATCGTCAACAACATCATCATCATCATCATCATCATCATCATCATCATCATCATCATCATCATCATCATCATCATCATCATCATCGGGATACCATCACCATCACCACCATGACCATCATCATCATCAACATCATCGACATCATCATGATCATCATCATCATCATGATCAGCATCAGCATCAGCAGCATCATCATCACCATCATCATCATCAGCATCAGCATCAGCATCAGCATCAGCATCAGCATCAGCATCAGCATCAGCATCAGCATCAGCATCATCATCATCATCATCATCATCATCATCATCATCATCCTCATCATCATCATCATCGGGACACCGACAGGACACCGGCGGGACACAGGCGGGACACCGTGGGCCACCGGCCCCCGGAAAAGAATCATTTGGTCCGGCCGCGCCTCAGCCGGAGGCGGGACACCGGCGGGACACCGCGGGCCACCGGCCCCCGGAAAGGAATCATTTGGTCCGGCCGCGCCTCAGCCGGAGGAGACTTTCTTCTCGCCCGCCCACGCAGCTTCGCCTCGCCCGCCCACGCACGGCACGCACGAACACGAAACCGAAACCGATTTCCCGGTAGGGGGGCTCTCCATCCACTTCGATCTCACCCCCTCACCTCCGATATTGTTTCCCGAGCGGTGTGGCCTGAAAGCGCCCGCCACGACGTATGCACTGTAAGGTTTCTCGGTGCGACCGTCGCCCCTGGGGGGGCGACGCACACATAATATTAACATGTTGGGGTGACGCCGATGTGAAGGGTAGGATGGAACCGTCTGAATTGACCCATTACCGGCCGGCGAATCGGCAGAGTGGGAATGTACATGAATCAAGTTAGCCGAGCCGAACGAGGCAGCTGGCCTGGCGCATCCCCCCTGTCCCCCATAACATGGCAAGAAATTGTGACAGATTGTTTCCAAATTCGACGTCTTGGCGAAGGGACACCTGCGCGGGCCGCGCAGAGACGGGAACGGAACTTCAGGAAATCCTTGCGCAGCGCTGCGGCAGGAACACAATGCAGCCCTCTTCCAGGAGGCCAAATTTCTGGTGAGCGCGGCGAAGACGAAGCATGCGCCGCGCTGAAACAGCACTGCCACTTTCATGCGCAAACTGCGCGGCGCCTGAGCGAGGACAGCGTTTCGCCTGGTCTCGCGCGGCCCCGTTGCCGCTGCCGCTCTTGCGCGACCCGGCGGGCGAAATGTGCGCCGCGCCCGCGCGGGAACGCTGCTTCCCAGCGACAAGTTCAAGGCTGGCTGGGCAAAGGCGACGGATCGCCCGCACGCGCGGGGCCCCAGAATCGGGGATGGACAGACCCCCCTTTAGTAAAACGTGGTTTAGTGAAAACGACCTGAGGCCCAGACCTGGCGGGCGCAAGGTTGGAAAATGACGGCCACGGCGCCCTCTCGAGAACCGAAAACGGACAATTCACTAATCGACGTGTCACTGTTGGGGGTCCTGTCCAGCCCCGACAGAGCCTGGCGAGCGAGCCGCACGCGCCCTGCCGAAGCGGGGGCGCCGCGCTCCGGCAGACTCTCCGTGCGCGCGGCGCCCATGTGGGCCCGCTCGCGCGTCGACGAGGCGGCGTGCCACGAGAGGTGCGCCGCGCCAGGACGCGAGCTCCACTCTCGGGACGGACGAGCACGGTCCCAGCATGGTCCCAGCCGCGGAGGAGGAGGAGGAGGAGGAGGAGGAGGAAGAGGAGGAGGAGGAGGAGGAGGAGGAGGAGGAGGAGGACGAACTCTCAGGACGAACGAGCACGACGGCCCAAAAGGGCGAGAGCGACACCTCGCCACCTCGCGCGCGACGTGCGCCCCGTCGCATTCCTGCCTCTGTTGGCAGGAGGCACGTCGACTTGTACGACACGCAGCAGGGTCGATGGAGCACCCCAGATTGGCGTGCTTAACGTATCGGAGAGGAGGAAGGTAAGGAGGAGGAAGAGGAGAGGGGGGTAATTTCCGCAGCTGCCGCGCTCTCGCCGAGAGGGAGGAGGGGAGGAGGGAAGGCAAGGAGCAGAGGAATGAGGAAAGAGGAAGAGGAGGAGGCGACGAAGCACCAGGAAGAAGGGGAGGAAGGCGACGAGAAAGAACAGAGGAAAGCAACGTCGAGGCTACAGCCGCTTCGCGCTCCTCCGTCTTCGCGCTCGTCATCTCGTTCTGCTGCAGCTCGGCCTGGCACGGGCGAGCGCTGAGCCGGGCGCCGCGGACAAGCTGCCACCGGGCAACTCGCCACGAGGTCCGACAGCATGGGGCCGCTCACCCCTCCTCCTCCCTCCGCCCTCCTCTCTCCTCCCTCCTCCCTCATCCCTCCTCCTCCTCCTCCTCCTCCTCCTCCTCCTCCTCCTCCTCCTCCTCCTCCTCCTCCTCCTCCTCCTCCTCCTCCCCCCCCTCCTCCTCCTCCTCCTCCTCCTCCTCCTCCTCCTCCTCCTCCTCCTGCATGACCCTCCTCGCTCCTCCCTTCCTCGCCCTCCCCCTCCCCCCTCCCTTCCTCCTCCTGCTCCTTTCTCGTCCTCGGCGAATAAGAGGAGCCTCCCCCTTCTTTACCGCGGATCGGCTGGCCACTTTGTGTTTGAGCCTATCGAGTCGAACCCCATCCACGGTTGGAGAGAATCGCCCTTGTGGGTACGCAGTCCGATCAATCGACCCACACGCCAAAGGTCGGCAAGTACCACTGGATCGATCGAATCACCGGAGGCCCTGATGGCCCACCTTGGCCCGGAGTTTGCCAAGGAAGCCGCACAATATTTGCTGCAAGTTGACCAGATGTCCGACGACGTAGCGTTTTCGAGCGGAGTGTGTTCCTAGATGTCGAACCGCATTCGTGCTGCAGGGCCATGAACAATGGATCAGGAGCGGAAAACTACCCCCTGGCAAAGGGGTTCCAGTCTCTGGGGCACGCATCCCACAAACACATCCTCGAATGTCTGGGCCTGAGCTTGTCTTGTATGTGTTCGGCCCTGGGGGTACGACAAAAGAGGCCAATAGCCGAATATCATCGAAGAGACATCGGGCCCCAATATCCAGCAGCAGTCTGGCATTTTCAAAGGCACTGCGAGTCTGCTTGTACCGCGAAAAGGCGAGCTGCAAATATCCCATCACAGTGGCGCAGCGCGCAGCCTGGTGTAGCCTGTCGAGCAGAACTATGTGGCAGCGAAGGCGACCCTGACCACGGACTCCATAGCACACGCAAGGGCAGGCTGGTGAAGAGGAGGAGAGGGATATGGTAATACTTGAGGGGACGCGGCGTACGGGGATCGCGAGTCTCTGCGAGCTAGCCCCGACGACACTGTGCGGGAAAGATCGGTGAGCACTGGCGGAGAAGGGGGGAAGAGGAGGAGGAGGAGGAGGAGGAGGAGGAGGAGGAGGAACGGTAGCATAATGAAGAGGGAATGGGTGATGAACGAAGGAAGGGGAACGGGAGGAGGAAGGGAGGAACACGGAGAACTTGCTGTACACTGGAAACACGGAAGTTCTGAACTCCCGCTCGGGCGCCATGCGCCCCCCCCAGCCCCCGACCAGAGAGTTTAGGCTAATCGCCCCAATGGGTATGGAAATGGCGGCCTCGCTCGACAACGCCCGCGCATTCACACAGCCGCACACCTCGGGAAGGGTCGGGAACTTCTGGGTAGCGCGTCGCCACGGCGGCCCCGGCGACAGGCTGTCCCCCTTCAGGCTGATGGCGCGTCGCTCCACCCCGCGGGGCGGGAGGCTCGGGAAAGCTCGAGACATTGACTCTCCTCGGGGCCGCGAAGTTGGTAGCGTGTCGCGCTGAAGCGTGCTGGCTGGGCCAAGACCAGCGGAGCGACACGTTATGCAAAAAGTTCCCGGCCGCAATCGCCCCCCACGGGTATGCAAAGGGTGGCCTCGCCGTCCAACGCTCGCACACTCACACGGCCGCACGCCGCGGGTAGTCCGAATCCGCGATCGTCGCCACGATGGGAGACCGTCCAGCCACATCCGCAATGCATCGCAAGTCGAACAGAAACTCCTCACGCGAGCGAGATATTCCCTGGCAAGTCGAGCCAGGATGCAGAAACGTGCGAAGCAGCTGGGAGGTAGGTGGGAAACATGTCAAATTCACCTTGGCCCCTGCTTATACATGTTGCATCCACTTATCTCGTGCTGTTCTCCCTCTGGTAGCTTCTCTTCCGCTCTCCAATTGCATGACTGCTGCACGAAAGGATGGCCAATGCACAGAGCCTTGCACCAGTCAACCTTCTTCACCTGCAGCACAGAGCAGCGAGGAAGCAGGGAGGCATGGACGTAGTGCTGTGGGCAAGAGGAGAGGGATCATACACTGGGCAGAAAGGGACGGGGACAGGAAAGAAAAAGGAAAGAGAGAGGCGCAAGAAGAAGGGCGCAAGGGTAAGCAAAGCAAGAGAAGGACGGGAGGTTCCTCCACAATTACTCACTATGAATACTCGGGACGTCTCCCGTCCTCTCCCCTGGTGACGTCCGGGAAATGTTCGGCCTCCCTCCGCGTACTAGTTTTCTACACACAGGATTCCCGGGAAACGGGTTTTCGCTCGGATTTGTTTCAAAATGCTGCTCTCTCTGAAGCGCTGGCATCATTTTCGGGCTACCGCTCATTCCGAATCGAGCTCCCGCTGCAGTGCTGGCCTCATTTCCGCGCTTCCGCTCATTCCGAATCGTGCTCCCGCTGCAGCGCTGGCGTCATTATTTCCAGCGCCATGCCACAGCATGGTTTTCGGTCTTTTCAAATGGGCCCCCAAGTCTAGAAAATGGCCCCCCGAAACAACCATCGGAAGTGATTACACGTTCGGACTCGATTCGCCAATTTGGGTCGCGGAAGTCCCCTCCCCACTTTGGGACGTCGCGACGTCATGCTATGTCAGGCTACGCGTCCTCTGGATCGTGCTCCCGAAGAAGCGCTGGCCTCATTTCCGCGCTTCCGCTTGTTCCGAACCGTGCTTCCGCACCGCTGGCGTCATTATTTCCAGCGCCATGCCACGGCATGGTTTTCAGTCCTGCCAAATAGGCCCCAAAATCTAAAACATGCCTCCGGAAACAACCATCGGAAGTGATTACACACTCGGTGTCGATTCGTTGATTTTTGGGGCCGCAGAGGCCCCCCATTTTGGGGCGTCGCCACGCCATGCCATGTCAGGCTGCGCGTTGATTTTCAGCACTATGCTATGCCATGTAATGCTATGCCCTGCTACGACATCCAATTGTGCGAAAAGACCGGATGTCTACGCCATGGTAAGGAATGGGAACGAAGGGTAGGACGTCAGATATGACGCGAGCGCACCTGGCTGGTCCTCTCCCCCTCCCCCCTCTCCTCCTCCGTTCTTCTTCATTATGAATAACTCCTCCCTGTCGCATCCTGAAGCCAGTCGGAAGGGCGGGCCAGGCGTTCCGCCTGAGACTGCCCCACCATTTATGATCCTGAAGCTTAATAATTTGGCAACCGTTGCATCCATGGAAGGCGGGCCGCTTCCAAAATGTAGCTCTCGACTTTGCGCCGTACACATGGATTCTAAAGATTTGGAAACACTTCACGGATGGAGGGCGGGGTGTGTTCAACATGTGGCACTCGCCTTAGCGCCGCGCGCACTCGTCCTACAAATTGGCCAGGGGCTTCACGGATTGAGGGCGGGCCGTTTTCAAAACGCAGCTCTCGCTCTTGCGCCGCGCGCACTCGTCCTAAAAACTTACCAGGGTTTCACGGATTGAGGGCGGTTCCTTTTCAAACTGTGGCGCTCGCCATAGCGCCGCGCACATTCGTCCTAAACGATTGCAATCGTTTCACGGGTTTCAATGTTTAGCGTACCAGAAATGGCGCTTTGGAGCGACTCAGGACTATCAGGGCGCAACAGATACCTTGATTCGCGGTGTTAGAGTCCCATCGGAATCGTCAAGACGCAACAGTTCAGCTGATTCGTGGCGTCGCCGCTCCGACAAGACAATGGTGTTTTGGCGTGCTTCAGGATCTTCCAACGGCTGTTCCCAACGGGGCACTCCCTTGAGTGGAAATGAAGCCTTGCGGGGGGCGTCTGAAGAGGAAGCTTGGAGGGAGGGCGTACTCCAACATCGTTGATGAGCCTGGGATTTGTACTGATCTCCTCCTCCGTGAGGCCGTCGCCGGCCTCCGTCTGCCATCGCCCCCTGCCTCCGCCTCGCGGCGCCGCGCCTCCGAGGCCGTGCAGCTCTGGCAGCCCGCGCGCCGCCTCCTCCGTGAGGCACGCGAGCGGGCCTGCTCTGCCAAGAGGAGGGGCGAGCAGCCGCCTGGAGCGGCAGGTGCCGGGCGCCGCGCGATCTGGCCAGCTCTTTGCCGGCCGCCCGGGCCCACCGTCGCTGTGGTCGTCCTCGTCCTGGCCGCAGTCCCATGGAGGATGGCAGAGGCCGACGACTGCTGGCCGCCCCACGCTCCCAGTTCGTGCCGATCCATCCAGCGGCCCGTGGCGATCGATCTAAGAGCCCCAGCTCGAACTTCCTAGGCTCCACGACGCTGGCACGAGCTGGCTGCTGTCGCTCAACACGCTGGCGGCACGTGAAGTTTGTCTTGGTGCATTGTCACTGCCGTCGGAGCGCCAGTGCGACTGATCGTCCGCGATCGCGCACTCCACTTCGCCATCTCATTTGCGATGGTGTTCCCATCCTTCAACCCGTGCCCCTATCAGGAAGCCAAAGTAGGTGATGACGTTGGTTACCTTACACGGGCCCTACGAGGAGCAGAGCAGGGCGAGCTGCGACCGCAGGACAGCCACGGTGACCGACTCCGTGGGGGCTTACACTCCGCCTCCTCCTCCTCCTCCTCCTCCTCCTCCTCCTCCTCCTCCTCCTCCTCCTCCTCCTCCTCCATCTCCTCCTCCTCCGCCTCTGCCTCCGCCTCCGCCTCCACCTCTGCCTCCGCCTCCTCCTCCTCCTCCTCCTCCTCCTCCTCCTCCTCCTCCTCCTACTCCTCCCCTCCTCCTCCACCTCCTCCTCCTCCTCCTCATTATCCTCCTGGTCTTCCTCCTCCTCCTCCTCCTCCTCCTCCTCCGCCTCTTCCTGGGCGCCACCCCGCCCATTTCGGCGCACCCCCCTTGCGGATCGTGCCCCGTCAGACAGCTCCACTTGCTGCCCCAGTAAGGGCGTCCGCACGGCGCCCCCCCACCATCTCTGGCCCAGCGGGCGCTTCCGCATGGCCCCGCCCAACACATCTCGGCCGACCGCTCACGCAGAGGGAGCTCCGCCTACCTACGGTCCCTGTGGGCACGTCCGGGTCGCCCCGCTCACTTCGGCCTCGTTTCGGCACATCCCTCCCGCGGATCTTACCCTATCGGGGGCTCCACCTACGGGCCCTGTGGGCACGTCCGCATGGCGTCGCGCCGCTCACTTCGGCCGACCATTTCGGCACACCTCTCACGCGGATTGTGTCCCCCGGGGAGCTCCACCTGCGGCTCCAGTGTGCGCGTGCGCATGGCGTCGCCCCTCTTACTGCAGCCGCTCATTTCGGCGCACCCCTCCCGCGCATCGTGCCCCACAGGGAGCCCCACCAACGGGCCCTGTGGGCACGTCCGCATGGCGTCGCGCCGCTCACTTCGGCCGACCATTTCGGCACACCTCTCACGCGGATTGTGTCCCCCGGGGAGCTCCACCTGCGGCTCCAGTGTGCGCGTGCGCATGGCGTCGCCCCTCTTACTGCAGCCGCTCATTTCGGCGCACCCCTCCCGCGCATCGTGCCCCACAGGGAGCCCCACCAACGGGCCCTGTGGGCACGTCCGCATGGCGTCGCGCCGCTCACTTCGGCCGACCATTTCGGCACACCTCTCACGCGGATTGTGTCCCCCGGGGAGCTCCACCTGCGGCTCCAGTGTGCGCGTGCGCCTGGCGTTGCCCCGCTCACTTCGGCCGCTCACTTCGGCACACCCCTGACGCAAATCTTCCTTTTCGAAGATCTCCACCTAGTTACGGCCCCTGAGGGCACGTCCACATGGCGCCGCCCCGCTCACGTCGTCCACTAATTTCGGCCCACCCACCGCGCCCCACAGGAGCTCCACCTACCGGTCCTGACGTCCGAACGCCGTCGCCCCGCTCACTTCGGCCACCCATGTCGGCACATCCGTCACGCGAATCTTGCTCCGCAGGTAACTCCACCAGCGGCGACTGTGGGCACGTCCGCATAGCGCCGCCCCGCTCACTTCGGCCGCCCAATTCGGCACACCCCTCACGCGGCTCGTGCCTCACAGGGATCCTGGCATCCGCCGAAATGATGTTTTCAATCCGCGGCCCCACAGGTCCCGACCGCTGCCCCGTGAGCCATTGTTCGTCCAGGATCCACGTTTGATGGTTCTGGACCCTGCAAACGCACCGCGAGATCCCCGAGATCCAAAATCTGGCAACAGCGTAGGGATTCAAAAACATGTCGTCGGAGATCTGAGGAGCTCCGCCTACGGCCCCTGTGGTCGCGTCCGCATGGCGCTGCCCACGCCCAATTCGGCACATGGCTCCCCGGCCCCCATGTCAGCTCTGCCCTGCCCCCCCCTCCTGCTGCGTGCACATTACAGCCGGCACATACGTTAAGTCGGCTTGCCATAAGAGATCTAGGGGCCCATTTGGCATCGAACCCTTAGCTCCCGCAGGTGCCCCAGGACGTCTGTGAGCCCCATGGCCACAGACGTCCCAGAGCACCTGCACGCAGGCTGGCGTCTTATGTGAGGTACCTGCTGTGTGAGGAGAGTGCCGCGCCCAGCGCCACATGCAGCTGCATGGGGCTGGGCACCTCGCCAGGCCAAACTGAACATCCTCCTCCTCCTCCTCCGCCTCCTCCTCCTCCTCCTCCTCCTCCTCCTCGTCCTCCTCCCCCCTCCCCTCCTCCTCCTCCCCCTCCTCCTTCCTCCTCCTCCTCCTCCTCCTCCTCCTCCTCCTCCTCCTCCTCCTCCTCCTCCTCCTCCTCCTCCTCCTCCTCCTCACACTCAGAACCCCAGCCTGAAGGACGCAAGAACGAACAGAAAGACCAATGAGAGCAGGTCACACGATACCAGAGCCCATGCTATGGGGCGACCAGCCACAAGACAGGCAACACTGGGCGCGCGGTTGCCCTGGCCTCATCCGCCTGCTGGGTCTTCAGGGTGGCGATCATGTCGTCGATTGCTTTCTTTACCTGGAGCTCTCCCTTGGGACTGACTCTGCCCCGTGAGCGGCTGCTCATGGGGTAAAACTACGCTGAAGTTGAATGGCAGAAGATAGCAACGTTGCCCTGGCTGTGAAACGAGAACTTGCGTGTGTGAAATTCTCGGGCGCCGTTACCGATGCGAAATGGTAAGATTTGCCGGCCCAACGGGCCAGAGGCGTGCAAAGATCTCCGGTAACTGGTTAACAGTATTTCTAGTTCGCGCGCGCGGGGCGGCCCCTGGGGGTTCCCCGGCGAAAAGTATCCCGACCGCAGCCCGACCAGGTCTACTCAGAGATGGTTGTGAGGGCCTTTTTTCGACACCCCTCACGAGCATCGTGGCCTCCGAGGGGGGTGCACTCGACTACCCCGCCCCAAGAAGCCCCCAAGAGCCCCCCAAGAGGCCCAAGGGGGCCCCAAGACGCCGCCAAGGAGCCCCAAGAGACCACCAAGAGGCCCCCGAGAGGCCCCTGGGAGGCCCCAAAGAGGCCCCCAAGAGGCTTCAAAGAGGCCCCATAGAGCGCTCGAGGGCCGGCGGAATGAGCGAAGCGATGAATAATAGTAAGTTGCCGAGTAGGAGTGAACCTGCTGTGTAGATGCTGCCGAGTAGGGGTAATAGATGTGAACCTGCTGTGAACCTGCTGTGTAGATGCAGCTCCGCCAATGCCCCTGTAGGATTAATAATAGTAAGTTGCCGAGTAGGAGTAAGTTGCCGTAATAGGAAGTCTGATGTGTAGATGCTTCTGGACACTCTCGCGGACTGCGAGGGGACAAAGGGCAGGCGAGTGGTGACATGCCTGGGGCCAGTCTGCCAAGCGCGTGTGATCCTCAGCCGTCCGACACCAAGCCGAGTTGCACGGCTTCTGAACAAAAACAGAGCAGCGCCAGCTGTCACAAGTTAGCAGAGGGTAGGGGTACAACTGCTTAGTCGTACCATCTAGCTGTACATATGCCAACTACATGTATGTCAACGTGCGGACAAACATCCCAGAAAGAACATGAAAACGAAGTGTGACTAAGAGAACGCTGGCAACTGCTTGTGAGGTTTCTGGGCGTTCAGGCAGAGACAGCCCTCTACAGACTCTTCCCAACGTCCAGCATCCTCGTCCACCGCCCCTTACAAGAAGACGGGGCCCACGGCACGTTGGAAACACGGAGGCGTGCGTGCACGCAACGACATGATTGCAGCTCGCGGCCAGGAGAAATAACTATAACAACAGCTTCCACCATCAACATACAACCGCAGCTCTCATTCATAAATTTGTCACCGCCGTTGCTAAAAAATGCGACAGGAGACCAAACCCCATCTTTCTGCAACATGTTTCGAGCCAAATCGATCCGTGTATAGTCCCGTGGCCCAACACCAGGCGAAAAGCCAGGAGAGACAAAAATGCAACACCCAGATCTCGGGGTTCCCTCTGTCCCTCCCTCCACACCATGCCACATGCGTTCCCCCATCACGCCTCATCCCCCTCTCATCACCAGGCCCCCGACATCAGGATTTTCCTACAACCTGGACCCCCAAGGTAGGGACCCATTCCCCTTGACTGGTTTTTTTGTTGCTGAATAGTTGTTTGACGGTACCAGGGCCTGGCGGGGGCCCCCAGAGGCTCAAAATAGCAACAACCAAAAAACTACCCTCAAGAATTGCACGACGCGAAGGAGTCTGGGCCTCCACTTCCGTCAAGCCCCGCGGGTCCTTTGTGAAAGCGTCGAGCTCGACGGAGGTGGCCAGGATAGACAGCTGGGGACTGTGCGCCTCCCGGGCAGGGCACTCTGCGGCCCATTTGCCCCACCTCCCGCCGACCTCCCCCGGTCAGGCTGTGCCCGGGACGTTGGCGGCACCGCCACCCGCCTGTGACCCTGCAGACGACGTGAGCGCCAGCAGTTGCAGACCATTTTCCTCGGCGAGAACCAGCAGAGAAAGACAGATCGAGACATCCGCTGCCTCTCGGGAGGGCTACCCCAGTCTCGGCGGTGGACAAACCTCCCGTTAATAAACCACCCTTTAGTGAAAACGGCCTAGGACCGAAACCGACGGACCTGGACCCGCAAAAATGACGGCCACGACGCCCTCCCGCGAACCGAAAACGGCCAATTCACTAATCGACGTGTCAGGGTAGGAGGTCGATCAGACTCCGACAGTCGCGCGATTCGTGGACGAGCGAGCACAGCGAGGCACGCGCATATTGCAAGTCTGCGTGCGCAGAGATCTCATTCACAGGCGCCTGTCCTCAGCTGTGTGCGCGGGCAGGAAAACTCCGACGGCGGCGCTGGTCGGGGGGGGGGCGAGAGGTGGCGAGAGCGGCGGCACGCGGGGGTTTGGGCCCCCTACAGCCAACCCGTATAGCAAGGATGCGCGATAAGGATGCAAGGGTCTTGGAAGTCCACTTCGAAGCTTTTCGAGCGGGGCGCGGCCAGCGAAAGCGACGAAGGATGGACCGAGGAGGCAAGGATGCAAGGGGACCCTTGGGAAGGTTGCCCATCCTTACGATGCGGGCTGACTGTACTGGGCCCTAGATCGGGACAAAGTCGGCGCGCTCCTCGACAAAATCCGACCACAGCATCCCCTTTGTATGTGGTTGCCTTCAATCGAAATTCTGGCCAGCAACCGTACGCAACTTGACTCGCAAGCTCTTCTGTATACGAGCAGCTTCGAGCAAATGTGCGACAGCGTTTGTCCGTCCGCCGCAGCGTTTGAACATATATATATATGTATATATATACACACGTCAAATACATCCAGCTTCAGACTCACGCGCACAATTAGACCCAAATGCCTCGCTCGAAAATACGATCGTACGGGTTAGCCGAGCCTTGGGCAACATGCGCTACTTGATGTCTGACTCGAGCCCAACTTACCACTTCCTGCTGCAGCGTAACAATATATGATGAAAATCGCCACTCCATTTGCACATGTCTCTGAACTCCATGCTTTACACATTTCATGCTGTACTTGTTCGCGTGGTGTCTCTTCTCCACCGCAGGAGCGGAGGTCGCTACCAGCTTTGGCAATGAGATTTGGCGCCTCGTGTGCGTTTACGGCGACGCGATAGCGCGCATCACTTGCCGGTGCCTCGTTTGCGTTCATGGCGCGGGAACTACCGTCACGTCAGACATTTACCTCGGGAGCGCTCCTGGCGCAGGGGCCGTGTTTCCAGAGCTGTTGCCTCGTCTGCGACCCGGGCACCGAAGTCGCCATTCTGTCCGCCAGGACTGCTTCGTGCCATCACGAATCGCTTCGCATCGCTGGCGCTATGCACCTCGGCCTGAGGCTGGGTGTGCCAACGCTGCCCGTCTATCTGGCACCACGCGATCGCTCTCAGGTCCCTCTTGCGGCCATCTTCGAGCTCTGCTGGGGCTCTTCTCCCCGGACAAAAAAGCTCGCACTGGAATGCCAAGGCTCCCCCAGATAGTCCCGGCTGGTCCTCAAGAGGCCCCCCGAATAGTCCCAGCTGGCCTCAACAGGCCACCCGAGTAGCCTGGGGCGGTCTCAACACTCCAACCCTGGGCCGCCGCTGGAGGCGGCACCAGGGTGTTGAGACCGCCCCAGACTACTCGGGACTGCTCGGGAGGCCTGTTGAGGTCAGCCAGGACCACCTGGGGAGGGGGGGCCCAATCCGAAACCTTACCACACTAGGAGGTATTGCTTCTGATACTTCTGCTCGGCGCCCGCGCCCGCCCCTTGGCCCGGCTCTTGCCCGCCCGATGATATTGCTGGCGCTTCCGAGTCTCCTGTCGGTCGGCGCGCGTGAACGCCTCATGGGCCCCTCGTGCGCGACCCACGCTCCAGGACAGCTTGCACCACACCGCTCCTGTTCGTCAGACCCGAACCCCTTGCTGAAGCCGGACTGAACCACTTCCTAAGTCACCCAAATTCGAAAACCCCACCCCACGAGGAGGTGGAGGAGGAGGAGGGGGAGGACGAGGAGCTAGAGGAGGAGGGGGAGGAGGAGGACCTAATTTCGAACGGGTGGTTATGCTTGCGCCACCGCGCCCTCGCGCCGCCCCCGCTCGGAGGGCAGCTGCTCTGGTTCAGATCGTGACGCGCGAAGCGCGGCTGTCTTCGCGCCCCACGGGGGTGCCCTAGACTTCCCTCCGCGCGCTGGGTTCCCACATGAATAATGCACGGTCGTTCGTTTAGAACAAAAAATCAGTCCACTCCCCCACCGCCTGACGTCGACCCCTGCCCCCCTGCCGCTGCAATCAAAGAATACCGTATGGTGTACACTTTTTTGGTGCGCGAGCGCAAAGGGAAGGGCCGCGCGCCGTCCAAAGCTACAGCTAACAAGCAGGAGCCTAATTTGCACCCGTACGGCGTACACGCGCTGATCTATCTATTGCGGGCGGCTCTGAGAGCCCCTGTCAGGTATAGCCGCGCACGGGCCGCGCACGCGCACGGGTCAAATACACTCAAAAAGGATCGAGCGCCTGGCACTATCTGTCAAATACTGAAGAACTGGCCATACGCCTGGGCCCTCGCGCGCGCATGCGAAAATCTGTCAACTACCATAGGTTTGACGCCATTCACACTTGATATATCAAACACAAAATGCAAGTTCGAAACTTATGCACACATATACCATTGAAAAAAACACCGTGCCGGTAGAAACGGTATGTGTCTCGCTTCTCGCACAAGCTTGCTACAGCCCTATGAATCCATCAATGTTCCCCAACATCCCGTCATCATCACCCCCACTTGCGGAATCACCAGCACCACCGTTATCGCCATCATCACCACTGTCGTCGTCAGACTCATCATCAGCATCAGCAGCACCATCCAACATTATTATTACCATCACCAGAATCATCAACGTCCTCCTTCTCATCATCATCATCTTCATCATCATCTTCATCACCACCATCACCATTGCCATCGTCATTGTCCTTTTCATCGTTTTCGTCGTTGTCGTTATCGCCCGCGTCATCCCTCACATCTGGTGAGAATGTGTACCCACGGCATCTGGAGTTTTACAAGTTCGTCTTGGGTGGGCGGGTGAGATGTGTATGTTCGAGCCTTGGAATACTCTCGCGCACGAAGCACTCGGACCATTGAACCGGATAGAGTAACCCCAGGAAGCATTTAAGAACCCCCCCGGCGATATCTTAGCACCGCATTTTTATTCGATATTCCGAGGGACCGACATAACCGCACGATAGGTTTAGCACCCGGACACACAACAAATTCGCGGAGGAGGAGGAGGAGGAGGAGGAGGAGGAGGAGGAGAGGAGGAGGAGGAGGAGGAGGAGGGAGGAGGAGGAGGAGGAGGAGGAGGGAGGAGGAGGAGGAGGAGGAGGAGGAGGGAGGGGCTCCTGGTGCCAGGTAACGCTTCCAGGGTGCGGAAGGGTTATCGATTTGCCGGAAGGGGGGGGGGGGGTTCTTAAATGCTTCCTGGGGTTACACCACACAGCTTACACCCAATGGATCCGTAACCAGTTTGGCTCAAGCCTGCCTTGGGCGCCAGGCGGGCGTTGCGCGGCGTGTCTCTCCCTGTAGAGTCCTGTCGTCTCAGCAGGCACCGAGAGCGGCCCTGTCCCTTTCCCCCATCCTGTGCGGCAGTGGAAATGGCGACGGCAGAGCGCAACCGGGCGCTGGCGGCGCTCGCCCCGCTCGTGCGGGCGGCCACGGCAGGCGCGGCTGAGGGTGGCGGAGGGCACCAGCACCCAGCCGCCGCCGCTGCGGCTGCCATCCGCACTGGCGCAAAACTGCTCTTCGGCGTCGAGGTGGCGGAGCCGGCGGTCGACGGCGAGGCCCGTGCCCGGTAGCGGCTCCCCAGGCCGCGCGGGGGAGCTGCCCCGCCCGTCGGGCGGCGCCCAGGCTTGCCGCGACTGGGCCCCGCATGCCGAGTTCGGCGTGGGCGCCGACGCGGTGCCTGGCACGGCGCGCGAGGCCAAGCGGCGCGCCCGTGGCCTGAGGGGCCGTGGGAAAGCGTCCGGGGAGGAGGGCTTGGAGGAGGCGCCGCTCGCCGCCGTCCCGCCCTTCCCCTCCTTGTCCGGCTCTGGCGGGGACGAGGGCAAGGCGGCCCCGCCGCCCGAGGCGGCCCTGGCGGCCCTGGCGGCGTCCCCGGCGGCTCCGGCAATGTGCTGGGGCGATTCTGGGTCGCAGCGCTCTGGGCCCTGAATCCTGGCCCCGCCGCCCGCGGCGGCCCTGGGCGACTTCGGCGGGCCCCAGCGTGCGGTGCTCGAGGCCGCCGCCGCCGCCGCGGACGCCGAGGCTCGCGAGGCGGCCGAGGGCCGAGCCGAGGCGCTCAGGGAGGAGTGCGACGGTCTGAAGTCCTCCCTCGCCGCGTCGGCCGCGGCGCTCGTGGAGGCGGAGGGCCGTGCCCGTGACTTCACGGTGGAGCGCGACGGTGTCGTCCTGGAGCTCATGGAGACCAGGGCGGCGGCCTGGGGGCTCTGGCGGGCGGCGGTGCACACGACGGAGGTTGGGGTGCAGGCCGGCTCGTCGCTGGCGGCGAAGGGCGGCGTGCAGTGGGCTGGCTCGGTGGACTCCTCGTCCGAGGCGGCGCCGGAGGGCTTCCAGGAATGCGTCGAGGGCGGACGACGACGGCAGCTCCGACGACGAGGGCGGCGAGGACGCCCTGCCGTTCGAGCTGGCCGAGCTGCGAGGCAGCCCACGGTTCGCGCCTCTGGCGGAGATGCTCGCGCAATCGCCGGACTTGTGCGAGCATGAGCTGGGGGTCTTGGGCCGGACCCAGCCTGCGCTGGAGATCGCGATCAGGCAGAACCCTGGCGCCCTCATGAGGATGGCGCAGGGCGCAGTTGGGGCGCGAGCATCAGCGGCCCGTGCGGTCGCTGCGGCCGCTCGCCCGAGACGCAGTCCTCGGATGGAGCGTGCGAGTCAGGCAGGAGGGCTGGACTGATAGTATTCTGATTCCGTCTGGTCAGTGCTAGGTGGAGTGCATGTTGCCAGAATTTACTTGCTTGTGTGACAGTTGGACGCAGGCCAGGTGCCTTGATCAGTTTTTGGGCGTGCCTGCCGTTGTATTGTTCCTGCGGATGATATCTTGATTTGCAGCCGGGTGTAATTGCAAGTTTCAGTCGTCTGAATGTTGCTCTCTCGTGTGTACTGATTTTCGAAATAATAATCCAAGCGCTGCGCGCCCGAGCATTCGAAGCAGCGCCAGGTGGTGATTGGCTCCTTTGGGATTGGTCTAGGGCTCCTGCGGGAGCCTAGAACCGTTAGCCTCACGGCACTGACGTAAGGGTCGTGGTCAGTGTGTAGCAAAACGAAAAGCTTACACCCAATGGATTACTCGACATATATCAGACTACGCAGCTGGCACCTCATAGATCGCACCACATCGGTTCCACCATAGGAGCCCAAGCACTCGAATCATGGGCGCTCCTGGACGGTCTCACGCGCTCCCTGGGCATGTCGCGTAGCTTTCACACTTGAAAACCGTATGTTTTCCAAATGTCCAGCCCCGCAGTGGAGAGCATGGTATGACACCTGGAGCCAGATGGTCCCAGAGACCGCCAAGAGGCCCCCAAGAGGTCCCCACAGGCGCCCAAGAGGCCTCAGAAGGCCTCCAAGAGACGTTCAAGAGGACGACCATCAAGAGGCCCCAAAGAAATCACCAAGAAGCCACCAAAAAGCATGTCAGCGGCCCCAGGAGGCCTTCAAGAAGACCCTGAGAGGCAGGCACCCCAAGAGACCCCAGGAAGCATCCAAGAGGACTCTGGGATTCTGGCCCAAAACCCAGGCACGGAGGGGGGATGGGCCAAACAAAGGCCACCGCCGCCCCCTGTTGTTTGCGAGGGGGGGCTTTGACGTGTTAGATAATAGCTGTTCGAACCCTTCCAGAAGGCCCCCAGTGGCCTCTGGCACAACCCGCCGGCCCAGCCAAAAACAAACAACACATTCAAACAAAACCGCCTCCAAGATGACCAAGGTGGCCTGTCAGACTGTCCCAAGACGCCTCCAAGACGTCAAGATGGCCCCAAGAAAGCCCAATTTCCAAGATGCTCCAAGATGCCTCCTACAGCCAAGATGGACCCAAGACGGCCCAAGATGGCCTCAAGACGGCCCTAGAGGCCCCTAAGATGCCCCGAATTCTTCCAAGAGGAGCTCCCTCAGAAAGCCAAACTTCCGTGATGATCCTCAAGCTTTTGATGGCGTTTCGAATTCTCACCCTTTCGGGCTTCCGACCGCCCAAGACGGCCCCAAAGCCTCCAACATAGCGCCAAGACAACCCGATAAGACCCCAAGAGGGCCCCGAGACGCGCAACAAGGGTCGCAAGACTGCCCAATAGGGCCCCCAAGACGGCCCCGAGAGGGCCCCGAAACGGCGCCAAAGACATCCAAGACGGTCCGAAGCGTCCCAAGAGGGCCCCATGGCCCCAAGACGGCCTCCGAAGACCAAGCGGCCCCTTACAAGCCCCACGAGGTCCCCAAGAGGCCCCTTCTCCTCCTCCTTCTCCACTTCCTCCCGCCTCCTCCCTGTTTCACCCCCAATTGCTCCACCAAGGGGTTCCACCACGACTCGGGTAACTCATTGCCCAATAGCTTTGCCCGCAGGCGTCTTCGAGACACTCCCAACAAGCATCATTAGACGCTACCCCTATGCCGAAGACGGAAATCCTCTACCCTCAGCGTGGTGCCTTTTATAAGATGCACGACCGTGCACGATGACGGTGCCAGCTGACGCGGTATCACTCCCCGCACCCCTGTCAACAAAATACAGTGCGGTTCATAAGCATTGTTCTAACAAGTGGGTTTGTCAGAATCCCAACCAAAGAATGACCTGCGGGTCACATGCGCGCGCAAATGTCGAAAGGTCAGATCAACCACCGCTTGTTCAATAACATTGTTCCTGTGAGCGCGCACCCGCTGAAACCTTACCAGAAACCCAGAAGTCCATTGCCAGTGTGCCAACAGAGACGATGCGGGCCGCACGCGAGCGCGCGCATGTCGAACTCATTCAGCAAGCACCACTCGCCCACCAAAACTGTCAAACAAGACAGTGCTGCCACGAGCGCGCGTCTCCGCGCTTGCACGACGAAATCGTCTTAACCTCGTCTGTGCCCTGAGCACGCATGTCAAAACATGATTTCTGCTGCTCTGCGCGCACGCGAGCGCATTTCCCCACCGTCCTCATCAGCACCCTGTTGGGGTGCCACTGGCGGTCTTGAGACCTGTTTGGAGTCACCTTGGGCCCTCATTTCCTCTAGCCCTGCAGCATCTCCATACCTTCCTGTCCCTCCGGAGTCCTTCCCATCCTTCCTTCTCTGCCTCTGCCCGTCCGCCCATCGCCCCCCCCCCCCTCGCCTGCCTCACTTCCTCGTTACCCTCGCCTCAGAGCCTCCCCGTTACCCTCTCATCCCTTCGCGACTCTCTCTCTCTCTCTCTCTCTCTCTCTCTCCCGTCCCTCTCCCGAGGCAGGTGGTCCAAGCCGTCCACTCTTCCACGCCGCCTCCAAGATGTACTCCGTGACGTATGCGCATCCTGCTGGCCCAGTGAATTCCTGGCGCCATCGACTGGCGCTGATAACCACGTGTAGGAAGAAACCCGCACCTTCCCTCCCGCCCCCGCCAACCCGTCACCGTATCGCAGCTTCGTGTCGGCCACCCTGGCGTCGGCTTCTGACACCGTGCGGATCGTTCAACCTTGAAGGATCGGCGGCTCGTCGATCGCCAGGTCGTTTCGCCTTGGCGGATCCTGGGCCACTGGGGGCGTTCAACCTTGAACGCCCGCGCTGGGGTCGACACGAACCTAGCGGGCCTCCCTTCCCCGCTTTACCGTGCTCCTTCCCCGCCCCTTGGGCGCCTTCTTTGCCACCTCGCGCAGTCTGTCCGCAGCCCGCCTGCGGTTCACATCCACCTGGCGCGCTCCGCCCTCCAGGGCCGCAAGAGCAGAGGGCATGATGCCCGGGCGGGTGCCCCCCAGGGTGCCCAGCGACGCCGCCAGCAGGCGCGGGGACCCCGAGGTGAACAGCAGGTGCGATGAGCATGCCCCAGGAACGAACACGTCTTCGATGACTCGGGGCTCTGAGTGTTTGACCTTCGCCCCCTGGCAGACGCAACCTTCATGTCGGCTCTGGCCCCATCTCCGACGCTGCCGCCGTCCCAGCTTCGAGCCGGGCCACAAGACACACGGCAGGCCCACTCGCGGTGGGCACCACCAGGAGAACACGCCCCCGAGGCAAGACAGGGGCCCCTGCCGGGAACCTCCGAGCTCGCGGTCCTGAGCGTGCACGGTTTCCCCAGGTGCCGTAGGCGACCCGAGGAGGAGGAGGAGGAGGAGGAGGAGGAGGAGGAGGAGGAGGAGGAGGAGGAGGAGGACGGGTCGCCTCAGCCCTTCGGGGAAACCCTCCACCTGAGCGGACCCCTAGACGCAACGGCACGGGGGCCGGCCAGACGTGCGCGGAGGCAACGTGGGCGGCACGGCTGGAGACGAGGGGCGGGGCGAGTCCGAGGGAGCTCCAGGGCGAATGGGGGAGTGATGGACAGAAGAACGAGCGGGACGGATGGGAGGGATGGGAGGGGAGGGGAGGCGAGGATGGGAGGGATGGGCTGAGGAGGGGACCCCGAGCGCGGATGGAGTCTGACACGGATCGGGATGCTGAATGGGAGGAGGGAAGAGGACAAGGAGCTCGGGTCAGAAGTTGCTTGCCAGCATGCGTATTGCGTATGTGTCTATTTTAACATGTGCGATTGACAGAACTGTGAACGTGCTGCGCGAGCTGTGGGGTGCAGTCTGCGAGGTGCCGCATGTGAAGTGCAATGCTTCTGTGGAAATTTCAATCGTAAATCCCAATCCTCGCGCTAACGTATCCCCCCAACCTGTAACTTGTTTTGCACAATCCTTTCGGCTACGATTGCTGCCGCCGGTTGGAACTTGCTGCCGCATCTCTGTGGCCGCGCTGGCGCGCGCCCGCTCAAGAGCTCATCGGCCGGCTGGTTTGGCACAAATGATGCGGCCGTGGTGGCGGTTACCAATCAGAACTTCCCGGCGCATCTTAAAGGCCGCGCTGGCGCCCGGGCACTTCAGTGCGGGCTGGTCATTCGGGCGGGCGAGATATCATGATGACGTCGACAACAATGGCGATCGACGACTTCGACGATAACGACGATGACGGCGGCGGTGATGATCCCCACAATGGCGATGAGAATGATAAGGATGATGGTGATGATGATGACGATGACAATGATGACGCAGACGACGATGACAACGATTGCGCTGGTGAGCATGATAAGAAAGGGCGCGCTCGCAGAAATCAACACATTCTGACGTGACTTTGCCAGGCGCGTGTGGCCCGAACGGTACAATTTCATAGAATTGCTGGGAGCACGATATTGGTTGAACGTTGCCGACATGATAGACATGACTTGACTTGACAGACTGACGAAACACCTCGACAATTCTTTGGATTTCAACGAATGAACGCGCGCAACATTCCCGTCAACCGGTTCGTAGAACATGATCGACCCACGATCCCGAAAAGGAATATAGAAATGTAACGCATGGCAACGTTTTCAAAGACACCTGATTGGGTGACGGGCAAGTGCAATGCTGATTGTATCGATCTTGAGGTACCGTGCCGAGGGCTGTGCTGTGCTGCACCGTGCTGAATTGAGATGTGCCATGCCGCGGTTGTGCTCTATAGCGTCGTGGATCGAGTCTTCCTTTGCATCCGAGTCCTGACCGAACTGATCTGGATCTTAAGCTCGAGCTGCCTGAACACATAGTATCTGCCCAGAGCTAATTGACAGGGGGACATGCCAGGAGGACGCGCCGCGAAACGTCCCAAGGGACGCGCCAGGCGACGTGCCAGGGGACGTGCCATGGGGTCGCCCCGCGGGACGTGCCAAGAGGACGCGCTACTGAACGTGCCAATGGATGTGCCACGGAATGTGCCAGGGGACGCGCCACGCGACGTGCCAGGAGGACTCGCCAAGGGACGCCCCACGGAACGTGCCAAGGAACGTGCCAGGTTGCAATGCTGATTGTATCGATCTTGATGTACAGTGCCGACGTCTGTGCTGTGCTGCACCGTGCTGAATTGCGATGTGCCATGCCTCGGTTGTGCTCTATAGCGTCGTGGATCGAGTCCTCCTTTGCATCCGAGTCCTGACCGAACTGATCTGGATCTTAAGCTCGAGCTGCCTGAACACATAGTACCTGCCGCAGAGCTAATTGCCAGGGGGACATGCCAGGAGGACGCGCCGCGGAACGTCTCAAGGGACGCGCCAGGCGACATGCCAGGGGACGTGCCATGGGGACGCAACGCGGGACGTGCCAAGGGGACGCGCTACGGAACGTGCTGGGGGCAAGCGTTTCGCTCGAGACATCCTGTCAAAATCCTCATTCTAGACATCCGCCTGAGCGACCTGGAAACGTGAAGACAAACGTTTCGCTCAACACATCCTCAACACATTCTCATGCTAGACATCCGCCTGGGCGAACTGGACACGTGAAAACAAGTAGTTCGCTCGAGACATCCTCAACACATCTTCATGTGAGACGTCCGCCTGGGTGACCTGGGCACGTGAAAACAAGCGTTTCGCTCGAAACGTTTTCAACACCTCCTCATTCTAGACATCCGCCTTGGCGACCTGTACACGTGAAGGCGAACGTCTCGCTCGAGTCATCATCAACACATCTTCATGTTAGACATCCGCCTGGGCGACCTGGACACGTGAAAACAAGCGTATCTCTCGAGACATTCTCAACACATCCTCATGCTAGGCATCCGCCTGGGCAACCTGGACACGTGCAAACAAGCGTCTCGATCGAGACTTCCTCGACACATCCTCATGCTAGACATCCGCCTGGGCGACCTGGACACGTGAAAACAAGCCTCTGGTTCGAGACATCCTCAACAAATCCTCATGCTAGACATCTGTCTGGGCCACCTGGAGGCGTGAAACCAAGCGTCTCGCTCGAGACATCCTCAAGACCTGGGCACGTGAAAACAAGCAGTCCACTTGAGAGATCCTCAGAATTCAGGTCCCCAGGAGAGGACAAACTATAACACAAAACAAGCGTTTCGCTCGAGACATCCTCAACACATTCTGAAAAACAAGCGTTTCGCTCGAGACATCCTCAAAGTTTAATTCACCGGCCCTTCGCGACCTCGTTATTTTTCACAAAAGAATTCGCCGGCCCATCTCCGGGGGTAAACAGCTAAAAGAAAACCCTGGACCCACGCCCTTTCCGGGGAAAAGCAAGCGGTTTTGATAGTATGAACTAATCATATCATGATACTGCTAGATATCAACAATGGATATTGACAGATTTTGACGTGCGGGAGCGGCGGCGCGCGCGAGGACGTCCCGTATGAGATTCGTCGCGGAGATCCAAAATATTGAAACATTGTTTGAGATACACAAGTGCGGGCGCGTGGTCTGAAAAAGATGACGAGTGTCAACACGGGCTGGGCTGGGATGGTATACTTTCGGATGGAAAGCCAACGATGAGGCAAAATGCATCGCAGAGTCCCTGGGAGGACCAATAACCCGAGGCATGGGAGGCTTATAGAGTCGACTCTTCCTTCAGGAGGAGAATATCATGTGGAGCAAAATGTGGGTGACCATTCACCTTGCTGGCATCCGCGCTCAGCAAAATCCAAGGGTCACACAAACATCCCACCCACCCATCCGCAACTTCTTGGCAAAATAACACCGGGCGACGAAAATGACGATGACGGAGACGACGAGCATGTTCATGACTACGATGGGGACGATGTGCACGATGACGATGATGATGGCGACGAAGCTATGGTGACTGTGATGACGGTGGCAATGAAGCGGCTGGCGATGATGGCGATGGTGCGGGTGAGGATGATGAGAATGAACGCGCGCAGGTAGTGGAAAATCTCAGATATGTCCAGATGAAAAATTCGGCTTCGACATGTGCTTAAACACCTCCGTACTCCAATGTTCAGAAAACAGAGGGCGTTGCGACGATTCGACGTGCAAGCGCGGACACTCGCGCGTGTGGCCCGCGCGGTATTACTTGATATAGGGTTGGCGGGTGCGCGATGGCTGCTGAGTGTCATCGACGTCGGCGACCGCGTGGCACGCATGGCTAAAACATTACACCAAAGAAAAACCCCAATCAACTGATGGCTTTCGCTGAGGAGATCGACCGGGAACCCGGGAGCCCGGGAACCCAGAACCCACCGAAATCGGCCCGGAACCAATGACCAGGAACCTGGGAACCCAGAACCGGGAACCTGGGAACCCAGCCTGCTACCAAAGTCGGTGGGAAACTTTCGCCGAATCTTTCAACTTCCGCTAGGACCCCTTCAGTGCAGGCGGTGATTGGGGAACATGTCCTTATGATTTCGGCGAGTGCGCGCACAGACGTTTGACACTCTCTGGCGAGGACAAGACAGCTAGCCTTCAAAAATGACTTCGGCGACTCATCGCTTCGGAGGGGCTTGCCATGTGCGCTCGCGTGGCCTGGCCCGCACGGTGTCTTTCAATACGGCCTCATTGTAATTGCACGTGCAAGATCAAGGCCAATGCTCCGCATAATGTGATTTGAGAAGAACGGGGGGGAACGATGAAAGGGCTAGCCGGGATAGCATGCAGTCGTGTTCAGAGTGTACGACCGTACAAATCAAACGTGGGCTAGCACAGTGACAAAGGAGGAGGCCGTTATTCCTGGCGTCTGTGTGAGGGTACGTCAGCACGCATACTGTCCCCTAGGAAGGGAACATGCGTGTGCATCCTGAAGCGCCAACCTGCGCACGGGGCGGGCACGAGCAGGGCAGAGGAGGGCACCAGCCGCACGAGTGCCGTATGACGCAGGTACGAATCCCGGAGTACAAGTGCTGATTGCGGAGTAGATGCGCGCACGTGATATAGTGATGCAGGGAGGGAGAGACAGAGAGAGAGAGAGGAGAGGAATCCAGACGTTCATACATATACAAAATACTAAAAAATAAAAGATAGCGAGAAAGAGAGAGAGAGAGAGAGAAAGAGAGAAAGCCACTGAGACACCCAGTGAGAAAGAGAGACTGCGAGAGCAGGAGGGAGAGAGAGAGAGTGGAAACAAGAGAGAGCGAGAGAGAGAGAGAGGCAGAGGGCGCGAGAAAGAGATAAAGAGAGAGAGAGAGAGGGAACGGGCAGCCCAACTCTGACTGGCCTCCTTCGCCTGCTGGATGAAGCTGTACGTCCCGGTCATGGCGTCCCGAGCGTCATCCTCGAGAGGGCGGCGCGATGTTTCGCGGTGGGTGGGGGGAGGCGAGGGAGAAGGAGGAGCAGCAGCAAACGCAGGAAAAAATGCAAGAGGATGAGGAGGAAGACTAGAAAGAGCCGTGCGAATGGGGCTGTCAAGACAAATCCATGATATGAGGACCTGGAAGCAACACAACAAGGAAGCGCAAGACTGCCAGAGCACCAAGCTCACGTCCGAGCCACAATCACGGAAGATCTCGCCAAAGCCGACTGCATAAAGGACCCCACCATGCCCTGCACGTCAACCTCGCCAGAGAATAGGCAAAGCGCAAGACCGCATGTTGCCCAAAAATCTGCCTTGACGGCGACTGCCGAAAGAGAGATGATGCAATAAGCGTGCAACTTCGTAGCCAATGGCGCGGCTCTCGCAACGCCGTCGCTGGACACAAGGGTACAGAGAAATGAAGATATGTTTCAAGCGAGTACTCAGACATCGCGTCAGGAGCACTAGTATACGAGTGGGGGGACACTCGCGTTGCTGTCGCTCGAGGGGGATTTTCGAACGACCCACGCCAGCAGCACATTGCTGCCACTTGCGCGCGACAGACACTCATGGCCATCCAAGGCCTCTATAAAGATGAAAATCCACAAAGACCACCACGTCCCAAATATGGTGAGCAACGCTCGGCATGGCAATATTATGGGCAGCCCTCCTCAGCAGGTGCATACATGGAAAACTAGGAGGGGAAAGAGGAGGATGAGGAAGAGGAGTATGAGGAGGAGGAAGAGGAAGAGGAAGAGGAAGAGGAAGAGGAGGAGGAGGAGGAGGAGGAGGTAGATGTGAAGAGAGGAGACCAAGGAGCAGTACAGGCAGTGGCAGGATCAAGAGGCTTAGAAGGGGAATCGGGAAGAGGAGGATGCGAATCATACGAAGAAGCGCGAGGGGTACGAATCAGTAGCAGCCGAAGCAGGGGATGCGGGGAAAAGGAAAATGATGCGGGAGGGAAGCAGAGGAGAACGAGGAAGAGGACTAAGTAGCATCAGGAGGACAAGAGGAGGAGTTAGTACAACTTTGCCTTGCTTCAATTAGGCGTATGAGCAAGACACTAAAACTACAGACCGAGCGTTTCGGTCATGAAGGCGTCGTCCTACATACGATGCCCCGTTGGTTCAGGACCACTGCGGGTGGTGGGTCGACGGCTTCAATTTCACGTCGAGCAAGAAATTGTCACGCTTTGACTCGCCGTCTGTCGCCCGCGATTCGTTCAAGAGCTCGATGCACACATGGAGAGGGTTCTCGATAACACGCTCTTGGACGTCAGCATCGGTCTTCGCGACAACGCCATCGATGGCGACGTCGTTTTAGAAGTTTAAGCACGTGACGTTCCAAGACGCCCCAGCGAAATTGTAAGACAATGACCCCAAATACTGTGCGCGTATTCCTCCTGAGGGAAGCGAGAACGACTTCCGTGACGAAGATCTCCTGAGCTCGAATCTTCTTGCAACGAAAACCGTACCAATTTCGAAATCGATGTTGCGCCGCATGGCACCACTACACGGAAAATCAACTCAGGGCACCCGCCAATGAAGGTTTAGCGGGACTGAGGGCTCAGACACTGGAAACATTATGCATGCGGTCGTTCCACGCCTTGTCATCATTCCGGCCATGGGGGAAGTGATCGCACAATGCAAATGCGCAGTCAACCAAAGTAACGGATTACCTTACACCCACAATCTCCATGACAACACTTCGACCCCACATGCATTGAAATGTTCGGCCTGCTCCTCATCCTGCCAGAGGTGTCCAACGATTGGGCAACCGCGCGTCATGCCCGCCATGCCTCTGGCCCCGCCTGGGCAAAATCTGCCACTAGCACCCAAGCCGCCGACAAGGGGCAAAAGGTCCAGAGTGGGGGGCGCAGGGCACAGGACGCGCGGCACATATGTGTTGGTGTCGTGGCCACACGCGCAGCGACACAGCGTAGTCAGGCAGTCGAGAAGGCTCGCGACACACACACACACACACAAACAAACAAACAAACAAACAAACAAGCACGCATACAAACACGCACACACACACACACACACACACACACACACGCAAACACACGCAAACACTCACACAAACGCACACATAAAGACGCACACTATTGCACAAACGTGGCCAATAAGGCCTTCACGTGCGACATCGTGACCGAAGCAGCTGAAGAGCGAGTGCCTGTGAGTTCTGCAGTAAGGTACTCTACCAGAGAGACCTAGAGACGGATCATCCACCCATCACGGGGCCCACCAGAGCCCACTCCAGCCATGCCAGACTCAAATCTGGCATGCCGAACCAGCTGGACTCTGTGACAGACGCGTGGTCGATCTCAAAAGGCCCCATACGAAGCGAGGTACGGGCCCTCAAGCCGGAGGTCGAGCAGAGCAGTGCCCACAGGCTTCGCGGGTCCTATGCCCTGGAAGATCAACACATGTTCCAGTCCAACGAACGTTGATTCTGCACTGGACCCTCCCATGATGAGGTCCTCGGTGAGGATTTGGATGGTCTGCGCGACGGCCTGGGGTGCGTGTGGCTTCGCCCTCCAAGTGTCAGACTATTCGAGGTGCTGTCAAGGATTAGGGGCATCGCCCAAAACGATCATGGCGGCAAGGGAATGATGTTCAAGGTCCCAATGCTACTGCGGCAGCTAATGCGCAAATGCGGATATCCATCCGATTATGCCGCTGTCTCATTCGCAAGATATCCTTGCCATCGCCACTCCCGTCGCTGTCTTCTATTGCCGCTGTGCGATGCGAGGGCGAGAGAGCTCGATCGACCGAAACGTGGCCAGCTTCGTGGCCGCATGCATGGCCAACACATGCGAACGGCGCAAGAACGCTCTCTCTCTCTCTCTCCCTCTCTCTCACTGAACACGGTCTTTGATCGCCCCTTCCCTCGCCTCCGCTGAAACATGTTCAATATGATTGAGAACAGTGCTGGTCGAAGGAGCGGTGGCTAGACCCCCCGATCGACCGCATCCCCCCACGCCAACACCAACCAAACTTACAGGTTTAATGAAACCAGTTGCCCAACCGTCCTTCCGGAGCGTGCCTTCACCACTGGTACCGTCGTCTCTGTTGCTTGCGCTCCCGTCACCGCTGCCGCCGCTGCGATTGCTCTCATTGTCGTCACCGCAAATGTCGCTCCGCCTGGCGGCTGGGCGAGCGAGTGCGCTTCTGGAGGAGCGGGCCATTCCTCCTCCTCCACCTGCTGCAATTTCACACCGCCCTGTCATCACCATGATCCTGGTCATCCTCATAATCATCGCCCTCATCACTATCGCTCCTAGCCCCATTATGGCCCGACGCCTCTGCTGTTGCAGCTGCGACAGCCACAACCAAGCGGGGCACGTCGCGCACTCATTAAGACCGCAGAAGGGAGGGTGGCATGCAGCAGTGCAGGAAGGCGGTGGAAGTAGGCAATCGGGGAAGCAGCAGAGGACAGATAGTAGATGGCGCCAAAAATTGAATGGAAGAGAATATAGGGATAAGCAGGAATGGCGGAAACGGAGGCGGCAGCGTCTGCGCCTCAATCTCCTGCATGCGCAACTTCTTACGCTCCTGCTGCGCGTGTCGGTTACCGCCCCTGCTGTCAACCTCTCGACACGCCGAAATCCCAATCCCTCCCCCTCGGAAACGCTCTCTGTATACTGACCTCGTGCTTCCGTAACCACATCGCCACCTCGAACCAACTTCTCCGCCCATTATCGCGTCCAATCTTCACATGCCGAGGAATTCTCTGCGACCCTGAATAGTGCAATACATGTGCCGCGTGTGTTCCGCCTGCCCAGCCTAATTATTTGTGTCAGCACTGACAGCACAGTTGCCACGTTCTTCATCCAACTGGAGACTGATGCACCATTGGCGCCTTGACTATCGCCACTGCTCTCGTCTCTCTTGCTGCCCAGCAAACGTGTTGCGCTTCGGGCATCTTGCTTGCAAACTCCTGCATTTGTTTGCCGGAATTGGCCACTCGCGCGCTGGTGCCCGATGGTTCGCGCCATGTGGTGTCATGTCTGCCGCAATCCGTTGGCGCGCTGGTACCCCACGGGGAAGTGCCCTGTGCTTCGTGCCGCATAATGCTCTGTTTGCCGCAGCCGGCCGTCGGCACACTGGTGCCCTGCTGGTTGGTGCCGTGTGTTTCGTACCCTGTGGTGCCCTGCTTGCCGCAGTCGGCCGTTGGCACGCTGGTGCCCTATGTATCGTTGACCAAATGGTTCGC